AAAAACAGTGGCAATCTGCATCCATTGCTCCATGCAGTACTATCTGAGGGTAACTAATATTACCCCCACCCTTCACACACACCAATCCAAAATCAAGCTGAAAATCAAGAAGTATGGAAACACACAACACTTCAGAATTAAATTAGCCTAATATCTTTAATTATCGATTTTTTTTCTATAGTATAGTAGTTATCATAAACTTTGAAAATGCTAAACAGTCGTACGTTTAGATTTTTTTTAAAAACTTATCAAAGTTTTTTACTAGTTTTGTAGCAAAGGACAATCAAAATTAAAATTTTTCAACCTCCTTTTGAAGAGTTACGATTGCATACAAAGCTACCGGAGGCTAAGTTTCGGACACAAATATATACATTTTGCCCATATCCTACACACAAATTACAAAGAATTACATTGACAAAGAAATATAAAAATTTTCCCTTCAAAACACCATGGGTTAGTATCTCGAAGCTATCGTAATATTTTCGTTTACGAACGTGCTAACGATTGACGGAATGTTGGTGAACGAGAGACTATAGCGCGGGTATCTCGAAAGCGATATTGAAGCAATCGTTCGTTACTTACTCGTTAGTTATTAACGATTGAATTATGTCATCATTTGAATACCGCGAACAGTGTGTTAAAGCAGGAAGAAATGGTCGTAACAAAAAGTAAACCAAGAAGAATTGCAAATTCAGAAAGTTATGAAACTGATGTGATTTCTATTGAGAGGGATAAACTTAAAATAGAAACTGCAAGACTAGTAACTGAGGGAAAACGACTGTATATAGAACAGCAGAGACTGACGAATGTGTAGCAAAGGTTGCATGTGGAAATCAGATATTTTAAACACTTTACTAAGTCAAAGCAAATATTCTGGCTGAGCTTCTCCTGATTACCCTCCCTCATTTTTTTCAGGCTACAGCAACACGTTGTTTCAGGGTGTAAGTTTACTCTCAAGATTCAAACTTGAAAATTTTGTTTTAATGGATGAAATTTTGAAATTGCAAATATCTAAATGAATGTAAATACCGAACACTCAGTCGTCATAGTATCTATTTTGAATACTAGTAGTCTGTTTATTTTAACACATACGTATAGGGACAATAAATTAAGATTCAAGTTTGTCCATAATATTGCTTAGTAAACGCTTAATAAATGAATTATGTACTCGTATATGCAAATGGTCTCATGATAAATAATCTAGAATTCTTTTTTTCTTATGAAAGTTAAAAAAAAAGAACGATTGTGATATACCAGTGACAATGATTATTACTATGATAATGATGATGATACAACGACGACAGCGACGATGAGTTTAGTTTTAAAGAAATATCAATTTGTTTTGCGTTTGAGTGAAATATAGAATATTTTCATGAAACATGATAAATTTCCATATATTTTCACGAGCTGGAAATCTTACTTTTACTCTTTAAAAAGGAAGTTCGAAGCTTTATAAATTCGTTATTAATATTCCTGACAGGTTATACGGCCGTATATAAACGGTTGTTTACAATATAAACCTCGCCTGACGACTCGGTATATGTTGACAAACGACCGTTTATATAGGGCCATATAACCTGTCTTATATTAAAAATATTATTTTCATTGGATAATCACTAAGTTTATATAATCTTCTGTTAATTTATGGATAAATTTTCATTTTGTCTTTAACAAAGAGTTAAAAAGGATTATTTAATACAAATTAAAAAAATAGTAAGTAAAAATATAACAGCTGGTGTTGGCAAGAGCAAAATATTTCAATCTGCTATGTTAAACAAATAAAATTTCCAGATAGTTCATGCCTATCTGTTGTACTGATTTTTGCAGCATCACGTAATGTATTTTTCTTCATGTAATTAAATCATTACATCACAGATAAGTTTTCGAAATATAGTTCTAAAAAAAGTACCGAATTTTGTTACATTTTTAACATTATGTACATGAAAATACATGTATTTGTTTATATTGTCTTGTGCAAAATTACACATTACAGAGTTTATTCCTTTCGATGCTTCAGTTATGATATGATTTTTTTCATCCGCATTCCAATATAGTTCTATAGGTAAAATGTAAAGAGCCCTTACATATGTTTGATATGTGAGAAAAAGAAATTAAATATCATATTTATGTAGGTTCGTCATTTTTATCAATAAGTTGATATAATTCTCATTTTTTTGTGTTTTTTAAATTCAAAGTATTCTTCCTTTTGTGCCAAAGTGATAGCAACGAGAGTTATACGACACCCTCTTCGCATCCGTTAATAATTGGGCATTTAAACGATTATTCGTTTATAACGAGTTTCGAGATACCAGTGAAAACCTTAACGAGAGGCTTACGACAGTCGTTATGCTAACGATATCTACGAGATACTGATTACTGACCCACATCTGTATGATTAATAAATTAAAATCATCGGAGCCAAGTAAGGAATATGTCCCCTGCCCCCTAGAGTGAGGGTGTATGTTGAAACTTCTGCGAATAAAGTTTAACTTCGGGCCGGGACTTTGTATCAAATTAACAATGAAGCGTGACTGAACCATAAATGTTTTCAAAATAATCGACTAGGAAGTTTTCATGAGGCGAACGAACAATAGATGTTTTAACAATAATCAAATAGGAAGTAAATTTTCATGGAAACATAATAATAAAAAAGGCTTGGCAAAGATAACTTCTCACTGATAAAGATAAAAAAAACCTATATTTCTTTAAATAAACAAAACTCTAAACTGCTTAAAGGCACATTATACCTCAGAAATCCATATTTTTATAATTCTTTAAAAACGTCTGTTAAATAATGTTAAGAAAATGGATTAAGTGCATGTACGATGCTTAACTGCTGAAAAAGGTAGTGCTGAACTTGCAGCTATGTGCCATAAAGGTAGCAAAATGTTAACAAACATGACAAAGTAGTACTAGTCTTTGACTTCCATACAAAATATTAATTCACAATAACTATACCAAATGCCAACAAAACTAAATGTAAAAGATAGTTCATGTATATAGCAAATGAGTATGTTTTTGGAAACTGTTTCTAGATACAAATATTTAAAAGTTTTTCAGACATAATGATAACATTTCTGAGGCATAATGGGCCTTTAATAAGACTTTTCAGAGAAAAATACCATCAAGATAAAAGTGTCAAATTATTTTGTATGGATAAATACAACAATGGCAAACAAACATGTCACACTATTGGACAAGTAGAGAGCTGATAGCTAACGCGAAATCGCAGCAGTAAATCTATGAATCCTTTTCACCAACACATGATCAGTTGCAATGATATGATATAATATACATGACTGTATATTGTAAATAAAAGACCAGTTTTTTACTGAAAAATGCGTTACTCATTGCACATAATTATAGCTAAGCTATCCTATTACTGCGTGTGTTGTTTTTGCTGTTGTTGGTTTTTTTTTGTATTTTTCTTTCTTTCTTTTTTTTTTATTTACTTTTTTCTGCATTTTGGAAATTAGTGCAGTTATGATTATGTAGTATATAGTATGAATGTCGAAATTTGTACATTATGATATCTTTATAATATCACAAACAGTTTCAAGCTGAGTCCTGTTTTCTGCAGACAGACTTGTATTCATTTTTATAACATTGTAATAATTATTCCAATTTTAATTTTCAGTAAAATTTGATTTTATTTACAGCTGAACGTAGCTGAAAACGGAATTTTATTTGCTTTTTAGATAAGAAATATGAGAAAGAACAATTAATTAGATTGATCACTTGATTCTTACTAACTCTGAAACTTTCTCATTTTGGCAAAGATTGCAAAGTGTTTCTCGCCAAAGTTGTAGACAAATATCACTTAATAAATAGACGAGATTTCAGCTGTTTCTATAAATACAGGATTTACTTTCATCGTGTGGTATTGAAATAAAAATGTCATGAATTGCGGAGGCACAAGTAAAATATGATAATTGTCATACCACAAGATGAAGATAAATCTTGTATTTATAGGAGAAAAGTTTTCTGTTTATTGTTGATACACAATCTTCTATTTTTTTTTTTAATTTTGTGTATTGCAAGACACCGGTGAAAGACACTGGTGAAAATACAGAAAATATGTTTCACTGCAGTGAAAAATATTTTTTACAGTGAAAAGACAAAATATAAAAATACGCATTTTATTTCATCAATATTTCTCAATATTCCATTGATGGTATGTAATAAATACATAAATCTGTCTATTTGAACTGTTGAGGGGGGGGGGGTGGCGAGAGAGTGGATGAGGTCGTTGCCTACAAACCATTGTCCTCACAGCTGTGGGGTTCGAATCCCGACAGGGACTTTGGATTCTTTCATGTAAGGAAGTTTTTCAGCTGGCTCTACTCGTTGTGCCTGAGATAATGCAAGGAAGAGAACCTGAGGTCTTCATCCACCAGTCAAGTTGGAACGTCGCAATTAATGTGTTGGTGTGACTAAAACCCAATCAAAACAAACAAACTTGAACTTTTATAATGCATGTCTTCTACTTTCATTTCTTTTTATTCTTATTCTAGCAGAAATGCAAATCTATGTATATATCTATGAATTATTGCATAACATGTATGTTTAATCAAACACGGGTAAAGTTTCATTCTATTTCATATAATCTAATATTTTTGTTAAATAGGGGATAAAAAAGAACAGGATATTTTAAGGCATAGATAAATCGTTTCCTTCCCTAGTTCAAATTAAATGGGAAAAAAAGCTTATCATAAAACAATGATAGGATTTCCTTAAATTAATGTACTTATCTGGTAAATGTGTGTTCTGGTCTCTTTATGTTTAATCTAATCCTACGCAATACATTGGTCGTTTGACAACAGCCGTCATAGTTTATTATTTATATGTTTATTATTTATTAGATTCCAATTTAGATAGCGCAACTCCAACGTCAAAAGGTCGCCTGAAGAATAACACGCTGATGTCATTAAATGACAGTGGTTTCATCGTCACAAATGCTGCATCCGGGTCGTTACTTTGAAAAACTGTCAGTCGTCAGCTCAGTGCTGAATAGCGCGCGAGGAGATTTCGCGGCTGTTGGCATTCATTACATTACATTACATCCGGAACGCCGATAAAGTATGTATCGGGCCTTAAGTAAAAGCAGCATTATCTGTTGTACATTTTTTATGCAAATGCATTTTATTTTGCATTCCAATGTACAGAAAATAGATACGAGGCGAGTCGTTATCCCTCATTAAACAGCAACTGGGAAAATGCATGCAAGGGGATAAATATCCAGTAACTAATAACGACTGATTGATTATTCATGACAATATTTTGATGTCATGTTTGTTCTTCTCGGAGGCGTAGCAGCGCATTCAGTTTTTATAGTCGCTGTAAAAAGGCTACGATAACATGGAAAAGAATTTACTTACGTGCAGAACAGACATTGTTGGATTTATTTTTATTTTCCTTGGGATTAATCATTGTTATTCAGAAGCAGATACTTTGGAAAGGGAACGTTTTGCATCTACATTCAAAATAGAAAAGGTATCTCATATCCCTCAAACCGATGCAACGGTGATTCTACATCATGAAAAGTCATTGGTATCGTGCGTTTATCATTGTCAAAGTCTTAAACTGGCATCGGCTTACTTTAATGAGGATAACTCCACATGCTATTGTAGTACTGATGATGACGTCAATATAGATAATTATGAGAATGTGGACGCAGACATAACCCATGGAATAAGAACGGAAATGATGTCAATAACTTACATTCAAGTAAGAATTGTTTTTTAAATAATCGTTGAAATATAATTTTTGTATCAATTATCTATGTATCTTTTTATCAATTTTATATCTTAATTTTATAATGTTGTGTAAGAGAATGATTAAGAATATCATTATTTATTATCATTTAATATTTAATCAAAAATATGAATAACCAAAATAGTCAATGATATCCGTATTAAAGACTCGGTCAGTTCGAAGGAGGCTAAATTTTCACTTAAACAAACCATTTATCTTTTACATAGCTTGATATATCATTTGTATTTTACATTTTAAATATTATACTGTGATCTTGTCTTATACTATCATTTTAATTAAAGTGCATTGCAAGTAATTATCGTTTGTTTACAAAAGGCATTTGATATCTATGACTACATCTATCTTTAAACCGAGCGTTTTGCATAATTTCTAATATTCAATAAATATTCTAATTTAGTTACAGAAATGCTCTTGACAAAAAATGTGTTTCGCAGAGAAATTCGTATATATATATGAGCCGTGTCACGACAAAACCAACATAATGGGTTTGCGATCAGCATGGATCCAGACCAGCCTGCGCATCCGCGCAGTCTGACCAGGATCCATGCTGTTCGCTATCAGTTTCTCTACTTGTTATAGAGTTGGTAAGCGAACAGCATGGATTCTGATCAGACTGCGCGGATGCGCAGGCTGGTCTGGATCCATGCTGGTCGCAAACCCATTATGTTGGTTTTGTCATGACACGGCTCAATTATATAATGTTTGTTTTACAGGAAGGCAGTCAAAAAGTAAAAAGAACACATAAATACCCAGAGCCCTTTGATTGCCTTGCTCTTTACCAACAAGGCTATACCGAGGACGGTGTCTATGTTATTAAACCAACCGGAAGTACTGCAACTGATGTGTGGTGTGATATGACCAATGGTGGATGGACGGTTATACAACGCCGGCAAGACGGATCGGAAGATTTCTACAGAAATTGGGAGGAATACAAACAAGGATTTGGGAACAGGAGTGGCGAGTATTGGCTCGGGCTTGAAAATATTCATCATTTGACAAGTAACGACAGTTCCCTGCACGTATACATGGAAACCTTCCCAAATGACAATAAGAATCCGTTTTCTGCTTTTGCTGAATATTCCGCCTTTAAGATTAATGACGAGAGTGATGAATACAGATTGACGGTTGGGGGATATAATGGGTCGTGCGCCGATTCCATGTTGAATCACAACAATTGCCAATTTACAACAAAAGACAATGATAATGATAGTAATGGTGGAAATTGTGCAGTGGCATACAGTGGAGCTTGGTGGTACAAAGATTGTCATAACGTGAATCTTAATGGATATTACCTAAACGGGGCAAACCCTGAATTTGGTCGGGGTATTATTTGGTACGGCTGCTGGGGTCATTATTACTCTCTCAAGAAATCTGTAATGAAGATCAGGAGAAACAATTAAAGCTTAATCCATTTTATTTGAATGATTTAACTTGATCATTTAGTGATTCGTAAATAGAAAAAAACAGACTACATGTGTTCCCAAAACACGCTCGTATAACACCGCAATATATTTATCCATAAATGTACATCATTTTTTGAATATGTGTAAGCTCTACGTAAGTCTACAAGAAAATAGTAAAACTCGTGACAATCAATATAACAAACAACATGAACAAAGGCATAAGCAAAAATTACTTCATTGGATCTCCTGAAAAAAAGCTTAAACACAAATAGAGTGGATTTCGTAAAAGTAAAAAAACTTGACCATCATGCTTGAACAATTTCATCAATCCAGTATGTGGTATCCTCCGAAATGATGCCATTTCGGTATCCTCCGAAATGTTCCCATTGCGGTGTTCTCCGAAATGTTCCCGTTACGGTATCCTCCGAAATGTTCCCATTTGGATATTCTCCGAAATGTTCCTATTGCGGTATCCTCCAAAATATCTCCTTTGTGATACTAGTATCCTCCGAAATGTTCCCATTGTGATATCCTCCGTAATGTTCCCATAATATGAACAGAAACCAGAGATTGTTTCTCATTTATTGGAAAAGGGCTTCAGCTTTTTTCATTTTTGTAAAAACAATCTCTAAAATTTCCAATTTAGGAAGAATAAGACTGGTGTAAGTTCAGGTTTTGGGGAAAACTGCATGATTTTAAAGAAATCTTCAATTGGGGAGAGGCCTTTTATATGCCTCAGTTATGTAAGATGAAAAATCACTAGAAAGAGTTGCTATTGACGGTGAATCGTAATAAGAAGAGGCAAGTTTTTGTGTTTTAGGGGTGTTGTTGGGTTTTATATGGCACCAACACAGTAAAGGTCATATGGCGGTTTTCCGGCTTTACTGGCGGTTGAATATTTCAGGTGCACCTCCATGCTTGACTTAAGGCAAAAGCTGACATTGCGTAAGTATGCGCCCCAGAGTAAAACAGTAGAAACCACCAACATTACATAAGACACTCGGATAGATTCCTCACTTGAAAGAATATAATGTCTCTGGTGAACAATATTTATGACACGCTTAATTGTGATGAATAAATAAGTACGTCAGTACACTCTTAAGCATACCGATCTCCTCATTCATTCAAATGTTCATCAAAGTATGATATTAGGTTCTGTAATATATGAATATCTAATAAACTGTAAAGAATGTTGTTATTCGTATGACAAACATTGTTGTAAGCTTTTAATTATAGAAACAATGGGATTGTAAATTTATTAATGACATTATTTCGATTCTGTACTCGAATCGCGCTCGACCGTTCTGAAAAACATTACTTTTTTCCTGGATAATTTATCAGAAGTCTTAAAGCCATTGAAGTCATTTATATTGATTATATTATTGTATTACAAATTTGATGCGTATGATTTTTTTTCTATAGTTTTGTTGTTATGTTTTTTTTAATCTCCATAAAAAATATTTTTATTTTAATTATCAATGTAATTCAGAAATTCTTTCTTGTTTTCGATACCAATAAATAAACTCAAATTGTTCTTTGTCTTTTTGTCTTTTCGTATAATTCTACCCAACAATCATAATTGTAAAATGTATATGAAAAGAATGTATATAAATTAAAATCAAAATGTTTATGTTTATTCGTTGCAGTTTTATATTCCGAATGATTTGAACGTATTTTAATGTGGTCATAACGCAGCGACGTTACATTAGAACTATTTCCCCTCTTTATTCCTTAATAGTTCATAAGATCCGCCCCTTTTATATTTCAGTCGTAACTTTTCGGATTATCCCCCCCAAACTTCGGACAAGTAGAGTTTTTGATGCTAAAGCATCAAGTCCGCCGGACATAGAAATATGATTGTAATTAATCAAATAAAATAAAAGAAAATATCAGTTTAATGGTCCGAGTATAAAAGAAAATAAGGAACAAAAGTTGAGTAATGGTTTAAATTCATAAAACATGTTTTCCCATGGACCTGCCAAAATTATATCTTTCTTGCTATACAACTTTGTAAAAGAGTTTTATGCAATAAAATTTAAATTTATGTTATAATAAAACATCATATTGAAAGCAAACTTGCTTACAATTTTGTCAAGAAACTGTTTATCATTATTTTAAATAAGCAAGTATTGTTTGGCAATATTTACCCGAGACTATAATTTTTCGGGGCTGTTTTCCGCTTTAGTTTTCAAACTTATTATGATTAATGTTAACGAAATTTTATTGTAAGATCTTTTAACTATATGAAACATAAGTTGGATAAATCGTGTGTTTCATTTCTAGAACTTTTTTGTTTCATAATTTTTTGATTAAATGGTCAAGTTTTGCAAAATAACAAAAAATAAACCATAAAAGAAAACATAAAAAATCACTTTATCGAACCCTACCAGTCTTCAAAAATTTGAAAACTAAACTGAAAATCTAAAACACCTTTGTCATCCGAGGATCCTGAATATGCTTGTAATTTAAACTTTATACACCATATACCGTTGTACCCATACTTCAAGAATCCGGCAAAATTGCCCGACAAATAATTTTAACCGATTAATCGAAATATTTGCAAAAGTGACTAAATAGAAATATATATGCTTTTAATTATTGCAATAAAACAATGCAAATTCCTACTGTAAAAGTGGTGTCTGCATAAAAAATTATTCTTATGCGCTATTCGAAAAAATATATAATTTAGTTGAAATAAATATTCCCGTCGTTTACATACGATATAATTATCGTTTAAAAATTGCCTTTCAGTGCAAGCTAAACTATCAACCAAAGAAAGTGTATTTGTTTTTCTGTATCCAATACGATTCCGGCCCCTTACCGTCATACCGAGATTTTGTAATTATTCGTATAGAATTACTTCGATTTGCACTTTATTATCAGCTTCTATACCTTGTTACCTGTATATCTGTCATATCAGCCATTTTTACTATTAATAGATTTTGTAACAATAACATGCAACGTGTAGTCACGTGATTCTTACAAAAAGAAACAGGGAGAAATAGTTTATAACTAAATAAAATAATAAAATAGAATAGGTCTCATGAGATACAACCAGATAATACTAAAGTTCATTTCAAATATCATGCATATTTTTATTTATCATTAAAATAGCAACGCTTGACACTTTGAAATTATGAAAAAGTATCACTAAATTCCAATGACTGGTCGATAGGGATACATCATTAATTCATTTTACAAAAATTGTAATGTTGCTTTTTAAGAGGTCAATATTTGAATATTTCATTTCATTCAGACTCTGATGCTGTTAATTGCAAATGCCGAAAGTAGCCCGCTTTTTTGAAGCGGTTACATCCCTTTATATGTACACTTACGCCGAAAAATTCAGGGGAGATCACTGCGGAAAGATGGTCAAATGAACAGGCGCATTAATTTTCAAGCAAAATAGATTCCGAAAATGGTCGAAGATTTCTAATATTGTTTTATTCTTTATAGATAAAACGTCCTTATAGTAAAGCTCCATAAATATTACAATCTGTGTTAAACAACAGTTACGTCGAAATAAAAAGGGTTACAAACTCTAATTTAGAATGATATGGTTTTCTCAGCCGTTTAACATAACTTATAACTTCACCGTGGGCCGAGGGTTTGGCGCGCTCGCTTAGGAAGCCAGAGTCTGGAGTTCGACTCCCCAGTTAAGGCAACTGATATTTTTTCAAATTGTTTAAGTCAAATAAACATTGAATTGAATATCAGTGTTGCAATTAGTCTTATAGCCATTTTACTACAATTAAAACGCTGGAAAGCATTGGTGGCACTATACAAAAACAAACTGGTTTATAATCTCACAACCTTCACCTTTCTGACATTCTGAGATACAAACACATTCAGCGCGTTCTGTGCTTTGATTAATTGTTCAGTAATTGACATGCTTTTAATTACACATTTTAAGGCCTTCTCCTACCATAGGTATAATATTAAACTGTTACAAATATAGTCGCCGGTTTCTACCGGCGACTAATAAGGACTCCGAAACTTTTTTTAAGTTAAACATTGTAAATATTGAGATTTGATCAGTAGAGTGTAGTTTATTTCATTATTGCATTCGTGTTGGTAATATTTCGGATTTGATAATAAACAGCAGTGTCTTTGTAGCTTACACAAACTTTTTAATATCGAGTCCAAAGTTGAATAAGGTTAAAATTTGCAGCACAAAATTCCAAAGTTATGAGTCAAAAGCCTTTTCAAAATGTATGAGAAGACTCAAATCAGGAATATCTTTTTCTTCTATGTAGTTCATAATGTCATAGATTAATCTAGTATTTTCACCTATAAATCTGCCTTTCACAAAACCTGTTTGATCGTTACTGACTAGTTTACCCTAAATACAAATACCGTTCCCAAAAATCTTTATAAATGTCTGCATTATGATTATAGTCAGAAATTCCTAAACTTTTAATATTAACCATATTTTGTAAAATGTTTGACTCCTCATTTAGTGTTACTGGTACTGCCAAAGATGCAGCCTCATTTCCAAAATTCGGAAACGGTTAGTAATTGATAAAATATTTGAAAGTATCATCAGAATTTTCAATGTTGTTTGTAGAATATTATTTGAAACAAGAGGGCCATGATGGCCCTGAGTCGCTCACCAGAAACAACTGCTTTTCAGTGTTGGAATGTCAATATATTCTAATATTAAATTTGAGCATAGAATATGTTTAAACAATAATTTGAAGAAATGCCATGACCTGGGGCATTTAAGCTTTAGCTTAAACGGGGCTAATCAAATTACATTTGTAATATGAGCAAACTTGATAAAAGACTACCTAAGAATGCTGCAAAGTTTGGTGATCATTTATCAATTATTTCAGTAGGAAATGATGTTGGAAGGTTTTCTTATATTTTAAGTTGTAGTGGCCCCTAAAAGGGGCTAATCAAATTAATAACAGCAAAACTTGATAAAAGAGTACCCAAGAATGCTACAGACAGAAGTTTTGATGATCATCCATCAATTGGTTCTGAAGTAGAAGACGTTTAAAAGGTTTTTTCTATTTTTAGCTTTAGCGTCCCCTAAAAGTTCGCCCAATCAAATGAATGTGACCAAACTTGATAAAAGATTACCCAAAAAATGCTGCAGACAAAGTTTGGTGATCATCCATCAATTAGTTCTGTAGAAATAGAACATTTAAAGGTATTTCTATTTTTAGCTTTTGCGTCCCCTAAAAGGGGCTAATCATAATAATATTACCAAAATTGATAAAAGACTACCAAGAATGCTACAGACAAAGTTTGGTGATCATCCATCAATTAGTTCTGTAGAAGATGTTTAAAGGTTTTTCTATTTCTAGCTTTGCTGACCCCTAAAAGGGGCCAATTGGAATGACATGAGCAAATTCCAGTGTGACTGTCACAAGGATGCTACAGACCAAATTTGAAGTAAATCTGCTTAGTAGTTTCAGAGAAGAAAACGATTATTGACGCATGACGACGGACGATGGACGCCAGAGCATCCCCCTTTGATACTAATAGCTCACCCTGAGCCTTCGGCTCTGGCGAGCTTATAAAATGCAGAAATTTCTCTGTCAATGTCCATTTGGTTTAAATTATCATTCCCTCATTAGTAATTAATTAAACTGAAAAATTTTTTAGTTGTATTATTATTTTTTATATATAAATTACAGAACATTTTACTTGTTTTTTTCATCAATAATGCAATCAACTGTTGATCTTATCATAAAACATTTAAGTTTTTCATTCTGTATTTTACTTAGTTTCTCTTTCAAATATTTTATCATTAAAATGTATGACTATTGTATAAAAAGTTAGACTTATGTATAATACACAAAGCTGTTGAAAAATATATTTGAAGTCACTTACCAACCTTTTTGCAAGTAGAGAAACTGACAGCAAACAGCATAGATCCTGATCAGACTGCGCGGAAGCGCAGGCTAGTCTGGATCAATGCTGGTCGCAAACGCATTATGTTGGTTTTGTCGTGACGCGGCTCATTTATGTATGATGTTGAAGCAATGCGTGATGCTACTAAATGTAAAAAAATCATATCTCACTGTATGTTTTAAAGTGATATTATACCTATCCAAGTGGTCAGTGAACTGGTAAAAATAAAATTTACTGGATATTTTGAGCACTTTAATTGTGTTAAATTTTATATTTTACTATGAAACAATCAATTTTCAACGTGACCAACGGAAATGTCCATAAATATTGTTCCGAGTATACACGGTAGCGTTTCTTAAATAGAGAAGGGCAGTCTTTTTTAATTTGGTAGTTTTTTTTATATTGTATCATAAAAATTTCTCATTTTCAATTATTGGTCAGTCACCATTATAAACGTCAGTCTTTTGAAATTTATTACTTATTCAACTCAACTGGACAGTAAAAAATGAGCATAACAATATCCACATAAAACTAAAAAGAATTAACGGGTGTGTTTTTACAAACGTTTAAACCTAACGTGTTATAGTTTATAATTGTTATTTGTGGTGTTCTCAAGTATATTATTTGTAATCCAAGATTCATATATACATGTTCATTTACCTCAAAGAAAGTTAGAATACATTTAATAAATGGTATCTTATGTTAGATTATTAATTAACTTTTCAATATTAGGCACGTTTTCACTTCAAATGTAAGGCTAATGAAGTTCACCAGGATATTATGCACATAAAACAAGGTCATTATGCAAACAGTACGGTCATTATGAGAAAACTCGGCTATTATGAGATTGGAGAATTGTGATTGGCTCTCCAGCTCGGCCATTATGAATCTCTTTTTTTGTCATTGAAAATAGTCGCCATTTTGAATTGCTGCAAGGTAGGTTTCCGAGACATTTTTAAAACAAGAATCTCATTTGCAATACGTCACAACAACGTTATTGATTGTTCACTAAGTACTAAACATTTTTAGATTATGTGTTTAGTTAATTAATAAAATTGATAATGATTAAATGTTTTCATAATGGCCTTGTAATTGCCTCAGGCTTAGTAATATGGCATGCAGTCTTCAGTCCAATAACAAGGCCATAATGAAAACACTTAATTATTAACATCATATTGAAAACAACTAACATACAGTATCAAATGTCCATTTTTATATACAATACACAACAACAACAGTCAAAAGAAGAAATAGCTAGATATTGTTTGAAACAGTCCATTTATTTCTTTATGTTTTAATTACAGCAAGCGTTCAACGCGGATAATTTCAAAATTATAACAAATGAACATAAATACATCATTATCACAATGTCAGTAATAATTCTGTCCTCAAAACTTCCAGGGTCATAAAAACTCAACACCATGCTGTAGCCTCATTTTCAACTAGCCAACCAAACCATAATCTTCTTAGTTTTTAACATCTACTTCGATTTATACTGAAAATATACATAAACAAGTGTATCCACAGTTCAAATTATAGTACAAATTTTAATAAAAGTAGTAATAATTTGTAATCATGAGTAAATATCTGGAAAAAAGGGATGCATCAGAAGCATCAAAATCAGCAAAGTTTCATGAAAATTGCAGACTCGGTTTGATTGAGTCTGTACATGATGATAATGAAAAAAGTGCAACGTCCTTCACGCCTCCTAGCTTTGGCTTGAGCGAAACTAAATCTTCACCACTTAATTAATGGCTGTAATCAGTGATCCAGAAGGACCATAACAATATATCTTTTAAAGGTTTTTAAACCATAAGAAATGTTATGTAATGATAAATCCGAATTTAAATTTAAACATTTAATCATCCACTGCAAAATGCATATGAAATGTAAATAAATCAGATAATCATATTGGACGTTCTTTACTACATTACTGCCAATATTCACTACTATTCACATTAAAAAATATTTTAGTAAAGTATAGTCAATAACTTTCCTATAAATTTTAAATCTACATGTTTGTTGTAATTTCACTCTAATGTTACTTACTTTATTCAACAGCCATTCTGAATCTTGTACAGACTTCGTGATAATTTGTTGAATTCTCTCGGGATCAGTTTCGTCTGCGTGGCTTTTAAATTGCTAGAAAAAATAAAGGAAACGCTAATATAATAGATCTAATAATTTGCAGTTTACATAATGTAACATTACCATTACCTGTAAACCGGGTCTACAGTTTCTAAAACCTTTATTTACAGTACATCATGCATAAGAAATACATGTAGGTGAATATGAAAACAGTTATTAATATAAGTAATGGCAAAGAAGGCATAAGACTATGAAATCAAGACTTATTAGTCCAACTTTGAAGGGTTTTTTTTATTAATAAATTATATTTCATATACCGCGGCTTTAATCAATTAAAGTCGTGTCCAATTTAATTAAATATTTGGCAAGAAATCAACACTGATTAGATGTATCTATTATTCCAACAAATGAAAACGATAATAGGTTTTTTTCTTTTTATTGTTTTGCATAAGCCAAATTACGTAAAGAAAAACAATAAATGAATATATGTTTTCTTGCACTAAAGATGGTTCTCAAATCTCATTATCTGGTATGGACCGTACACATTAAATACTTCGGTCGAATTGTTTTGAGTACGAAGTAGAGTTTACGTACCTGTCTCACATGGTGTTTATAATGACCTTGGGAGGACTTCGGTAATTGTTTTATACATCGTAGCAGGTACTTGTATAAACTTATAGGTGTTTTAATGTTGTTTGACATTCTTAACACGTATACACAATGTAAATTTCTAATTATTCACTCGCATTTTTCGGTTTGTTTACATTTTGCAGATTTGTAAGGGAGATAACCGGTGTGGGGATAAAATTTACCAGGACAGAATAGTCCGTTAGGAAAAAGACTTACTAAAAGTCAAAAGAACTATAGTAACAAGTATTTCGAGTTGAAATGGGTAAAAGACGAATTGGAGTTGTTGGATATGGACATCTAGGTGAGTGAATTAATTTTCTTTAAAGTTTAAACCTAAATGTGTAGTGTATACATGTTCATTAAATAATCATGTATACAGGCGATTCCATATATTATATTATAATTAACAACATATACTACAATATCATATATATGTAAACTATTAACTGTTTTAAATCAGGCAAACAATTTGCATTTATTTATTTTTGTGGATACTGATAATAAGTTATTTTAAGTACTTTTTTATGTTGTTGATGTGCATATGTATATCTTATACGCGAGTTCAAGTAATTAGATTTATGACAAGCAAAACACAGATGTCTTATTTTATTTCATTTTTTTGTTGTCTGGAATTTTCTGTATTTCAGTAAAGAGCACATATGTTGCGATGAATAACGCCGCTAATATTATTTTTATAAAGACTTTCTGATAGGTCATTAAATTTGTTTATGTATATAAAGGCGAGCGTTAAAGGGACTCCACGGCATGAGGTTTTTTGATATGATGGGACTGAAAAAAAAATTCAGATAAATTTAATGTAGAATTCTACCATTTGAATTTGGTTTAGAACACTAATTAATCTATGTGCAAATTTTCAGATCATTCGCGCACTTCGTTTTTCCAGAATAATTATTCAAATTGTAAAAAAATGACCCAAAATGAAAAGCGTTTAAACGTTTTTCACTCAAATCGGGCTAAGAAAAGTTTTAAGATACTACTTTCAATTATGTCAAAGTATATTTCTTTATTTTCTGTTTAAAGTGTCCCAGCTCATTTATGTAAGAAATTCAAATATTATGTTTAAAGGCTTTTAAACCTCAGTGGGGTCACTTTAATATTGCAAATAACCCTTCATACATGTACATCCATAATCTATCAAGATTCTTTATGAAATTAAAAATTGACAGCAACCGTCTATATAGTTTAGGGAGCAGGGGCATATTCGAAATATGGCTCCGCTACAGACATGGTGTTTGGAGGTAGATGTACTGAAAACTTTTGGTAATTCATTACCATTGTAATGTATGTGTGTAGGCAATATAAATAGTATTTTGGGGTATTTGGGTATTTACCCAAAACTAAACATTTTGGTAGCTTATATGTATTTTTTGACTCTCTGAATGCATTGACATTAATCTTCATGAAGATGGTCCATTTCAGGTGTGATTTTAAGTTGGGAGCGGTAAATATAAATTAATGTCAGTCTTTGTTTTAAGGAGCAATGCATGCAAACTGTTATTTTTTATGTAGATGTCCTATATCATTGAAAAATACTTTACAACTTGTACAAAAGATTTTGAAACATTTCAAATTGTGTTTTGGCCTAACTGAAATTCATAATTGCTCATATTTTACGTCCCCTGCTCCCCTTATATAGATGTCACGATTATCCAATAAAACGTGACGTTAAAAACATGCAGTATTATGTAGACGTCACGATTATCCAATCAAAAGCGACTTTACAAACGTGCACTATTATATTTTACTTACAGGTCAGTATCTCGTGCAACAGGTATTAGCAAATGATAATCTAGAGCTTGCGTTTGTTTGGAATAGAACGGCGTCTGCGCTTGACGGACACGTGGACAAACAATATATTCTACAGGAACTTGATACATTTCATGAAAGGTATAAGAAACTTAAGTGGCCCATAAATATGAAAACAATGTATACATATTCATTTTAGTCAGACAGACAGATATCTTTATTCACTCAAGCACATTTGTACGTACAATATGAGGATTTTCTAATATAACAAGTATATAATACATTAGCTTTCCAGCAGTAAACATAATTTTGCACAATATATTTTTTTTCTTATAATGTAAACAATATGGTGAATTATAACAGTGTGTTTTCTGGGGGGGGGGGATTCGGATATACTTAATTCTAAATAATTTAACAGTTCATCTTGATAAGAAAAACAAGAAATAATAAAAAAAACACACATATATAAAGGAATGTACTAAGAGATTCAATCAAGTTATAAATACTAAACTTTACGTTCAAATATAATTTTGAGATTTTCCCTTGATCACGCTTCAATATAGATCATGACCTTGGATAAAAATATGTGTGCATTATTATAATTGTCATTGGAAAATGATAATAATAATAAAAAAATAAATAAATAAATAAAATAAATATATTCTGAAAGAGTTTTGAAACGATAAGTTTGTAAGTTGAATGTTGTTTGTATTTGAATGTCCCTGTTGTGGAAAATTTTGTTTCATTGTTTTTTGTTGTTGTTGTTTGTTTCTTTGTTTTTGTTGTTGTTGTTGTTGTTGTCGTTTATTTATGATCATGAAATGCAGGATGTGACGAGCTAGTTCTATGACAATGACGCTCATGTTATATGATATTTGGATAATAAACGTACAAAAAATGTACTCTTTCATTTATAAAATACGTTATATGTCTAACAACCACATTGCTAAGACATTTTTTTTTAAAAACCGCATGTAAAGATATTCTATTGGTTATTTGATCCAATTATGTCCACCAACTTCGTCATATAGAGCTCCAGACATGCCTGCATTTCATTTCTCACAAGCTTTTTATTTTTAGTGTTCTGTTATGATTTTAAAAACAGTTACTCATTAGAACCATATTTTGCCTCTGTTGCTTTTTGGCAATACTGGTTTCAGCAGTTTCCGTCCCCTAGCAGTTTCCGGTTGTTTATCATTTTCGTCTAGTACAGTCTATTTTTACCAGTAAGGCATCCACATTACTTCATCAATCAGAGAGACATTTGTTTTCTATGCTAAACAGCATTTAAAATACTGTAGTACAACAATTTATATGTTTTGAAGTTTTGCCTGTTATCTAAAGTTATATACTTGCGACTGTCAACACCTGGGGAAATCTAGTTTGAATATCCATGCGCAATAACTAAGACCCCATTTTAGGTAAATCAATACTTCAGAAAATGTTTTTGCAGACGACACAGAAAAGGTTGGGAAGTTCTGTTTTGTCTGAAAACAATCTTTACATTGCTTTATGGTACTGAATTATATTAAAAATAAAAAAGGTCCGGAAAACTGCTATGAATTTTTGAATAAAGGTGAAAAAAGGTGTTACATTTCAGGCCTATATTGAAATTAAAAAGTAAATATGAAAGTGCAACATTAAACACATGGCAATGCTAGACAGGTACCTAACTTTGCCATGTCAAAGTTTTGTACCCCTCCGTAGACTTATTTTTCTTTTATTTGTTAAAAAGTGCGATTTGTGTCCAGAAACTGCTAGGAAACCAGTAAGCTCAGTTTCTGTGATTTTGTATGAATGTCAAAATACAAAATATACTACATGTATTTTGTTTACATTTTGCTACCTTTGTGACAAATAATTCTACATTCAGCGCAACTTTCTTCAGGTGAGCAGTGTCTAATATGATCTAAAACCATAATTTAACCGTTATAAAACTAATGTTTTGCCGTTTTAAAAAAAAAACATTCATACGTTTACTGAAGTATATTGAAATATAAGATCAGATAAGATTTATTTTTTCCCGCTTTTTGCTCCACAACGTCCTGACACTCACCAAGGCATTGTTTTTCTATTTAAAGCAGCACGCTTATTTCCATGAAACGTTTGAAATATATTAAAAATAAGATTTTGTTAAGTGAATAAAGAAAGCAATTTACATGTTGCAAACGGTACGTTCAATCCAAGTATATTACCAAATAATGGTCAAATACATACATGCAAAAAGTGCCCTTACTGCGTAAGTCACGCAGAAGTAATTATGTTGAAAATTAGTCAACTATTGCATAAGATAAGTAAGTCATTATTTGAATTGTGAATGTTCTTACTTTAATTAAAATCTCGTCTCCTTTTTCTCAAAGTTAATTTTCGTGATTTTTTTTTTGGCGCAACTGGATGCATGCAGCTTTAAATATGCGATGCATTCACGTATTCAACTTTTTCCGTTGCTAAATGTTTTAGCAAATAACATTTAAAGGTCATAGATATTTATTTTCAATTTAATATTTAAAACATAAATGTCAATAAAAAGAGGCGGACTTAAAGAGAAGCTGTGGTTTCCTGTTATATAAACTAAGTTACTTCATGAATATAGAATTATTATTATATTTGCGTACATAATATCACAAATTAAGCAACGTGGTAGTCTAGTAGCATAAACGTAATTGTAAGTACAGTCCTTATATAATGTAATAGGGAGTTAACAGATTACTGTACTAATGTGACGATGTATATATGTTTGACCTTAATAAAAAGTTTCTTTTTAAAGTGTATAAAGCTTCATATCTGCTGGAAATGTTTATATTATTTGACTTCTAAAATGCTTATATGGAATAAATATGGTAGTAAATTCCCTTGAAAGCGCATATCGGTAAAGGTAGTAAATTGCATTAAAAGCGAATAGCGGATATGGTAGTCAATTGCTTTAAAAGCAACGTAATGGTAGACAATTGCCTTAAAAGCGAATATCGGTAAAGGTAGTAAATTGCCTTAAAGGCGAATATCGGATATGGTAGTAAATTGTCTTAAAAGCGAATAGCGGATATGGTAGTAAATTGCCTCAAAAACGAATAGCAGATATGGTAGTAAATTGCCCTAAAAGCGAGTAGCGATAATGGTAGCCAATTGCCTTAAAAGCGAATATCGGTAAAGGTAGTAAATTGCCTTAAAAGCGAATATCGGATATGGTAGTAAATTGTCTTAAAAGCGAATAGCGAACATGGTAGTAAATTGCCTTAAAAGCGAATAGCGGTAATGGCAATAAATTGTCTTAAAAGCGAATAGCGGATATGGTAGTAAATTGCCTTAAAAGCGAGAAGCGGATATGATTGTAAATTGCCTTAAAAGCGAATAGCGGATATGATAGTTAAATGCCTTAAAAGCGAATAGCAGATATGGTAGTAAATTGCCCTAAAAGCGGATAACGGTTATGGTAGTGAATTGCCTTAAAAGCGAATAGAGGTAATGGTAGTCAATTTTCTGAAAAAAGCGAATATTGGATATGATAGTAAATTGCCTTAAAAGCAAATATCGAGTATGATAGTAAATTAAAATAATAATAAAATAATAAAAGCGAGTAGCGGATATGATAGTAAATTTCCTTAAAAGCGAATATTGGATGCATGTGATAGTGAATTGCCTTAAAAGCAAATATCGGATATGGTAGTAAATTGCCTTAAAAGCGAATAGCGGATGTGGTAGTAAATTGCTTTAAAAGCAAGTAGCGGATATGATAGTAAATTTCTTTAAAAAGAATATTGGATATGATAGTAAATTGCCTTAAAAGCAAATATCGGATATGGTAGTAAATTGCCTTAAAAGCGAATGTCGGATGTGGTAGTAAATTGCTTTAAAAGCAAGTAGCGGATATGATAGTAAATTTCCTTAAAAGCGAATAGCTGATATGGTAGTAAATTGCCTTAAAAGCAAATATCGGATATGGTAGTAAATTGCTTTAAAAGCGAATAGCGGATGTGGTAGTAGATTGCCTTAAAAGCGAATAGCCGAAATGTTAAAAGCGAATAGCGGTAATGGTAGTCAGTTGCCTTAAGAGCGAATAGCTGATATGGTAGTCGATTGCTTTATAATGCGTAGCAGATATGGTAGAAAAGTGCCTTAAAAGCGAATGGCGCATGCGCGAAATCATTGCTAAACGGATAAAACTCGAATTAGAATTAGCTGAATAGTATTTTGTTCCAGTTTTCTTGCAGTATTTTTGTGTGTTAAATAACGGAGATATTCTATGTTACAACTCTTTTGAGAATCGACCATAGTATAATGGAACCAATATAATTATATTGTTGATAGATTTAATAGAAAGATATTGCATGATACATTGCTTTATACCCTTAAATTAATATATGCGGGGAAAAGATCTACATGTATAAAAGATCCTGTAACGAAATTAATGATGGTTTTATATCATAAATCTGATGCTCAAATGAAGATTTATCAATATTGTAAGTTCTTGTAAAGATATTACCGAATTTAACATTTCATGTGAATAAAGGGAGGTAACTACAAATTTATTTTCGATAATGTCGTAGCTATTTTTTTTTATTAAAAAATGAATGCGTTAACGTTCGATAATGATAAAGAAAAACACTTGCTGTACATATTAAACATATTCTTGGATGTTTGGAAATTGTTTTTAGAACAATAATTGTATACATATATAAAACTTTACTTAACTGTTACATCCTTAATTACAATATACCATGTGTACGGGATCATGCTATTTCAGTTACACAACAATTGAAAAGTATACCAAGGTTACACGAAGACACCAGTTACCCTATAATGTTATATATAATTATAAGACAGTGTTTACCATTATCTTTGTTCTTGCGGTTTTTCTTTTGAGTTCATAGATAAAATGATCAAAGCAAGGGCGGTTTGTTTGACAGAAGGTCATTTCTGTGTGCGATTGATGTAGATGTATCCTAATTGAACGTATAAATAAATATCGTAAAATGCTATATTTAGTATAATTATAGTACATTTTGCATAATATATTACAACGATATGCATATATTTTCCCGAATCTTTATACTTATTGGACCCTTTCCATACCTTTGGACCCTTTCAATCAAACTTAACTTTTTTTCAAATATAATGACGTCAAAGTAATAACAAGATTAAAAAAAAATGAAAATAGACAGACGAAAATTCCTTGAACCAGTTGCATTATTTCAATTTAATTTGTTCCAATTACTTAAAAAAAAATTAATCTTGAATGTCGAACAGCAATGTTACACACAAACACTACATAGCTGGTGATTAATTGGTCTGCGAAAGAGCCAGACTCACACACAGTGGCGTTGACTGCCGACTTTCCACGAACTTATGATGAGGGAACTTTTTTACGATTCTTTTTTTTTTTTTCTTTTTTTTTCAAAATGAAGCTTGGACAATTTTATGTAAGCAGCCATACAGTTGAATGTAGCTTCTATATTAGCTTACTTATTATGTGTCTTTCTGCAGGGAAGCCGACCTGATTGTAGAGGTGGCACATCCGTGTATTACCCGAGATTATGGCGAACGATTCCTTAAACATGCTGATTATATGGTACAGTAGATTGACAATATATGCAATATAAACCTGTTTCAATACATTATACGAGCAAACCTAATTGAAAACGATTTAGATGCTTCATCTTATGTAAAAAAAAGAAACACGCGTACATTGATGAAATACATGTATGTGTAGTCACATATTGAGAAAAAAACTTTAGTTTTAATCAAAGACACATAAAAAATAGTTCTAAGTTTCAATTGATGATATTCGCTTAATTTTAACCAACTTAGTCATGCTTGTTTTTTTTTAAAAAATCAATACCAGAAAAATGTTTAATTTTAAATAGCTTTTTCAAACATTTATGTTACATTCATAGATTGGCTCCCCAACAGCAATGGCGGATGTGGACATAGAACGGAAGTTACGTGCGGCAGCCAATCAAAACGGATTGTATGTACCTAGCGGTGCATTATGGGGCGGAGAGGACATACGCCGAATGGCGGATAGAGGAACGCTACAGGTTTGTAAACTTAACGGTGAAACAAACGTGTAACAGAACAACGTGGCATTAAGTAATTCGGTTATTTCATATAATCTGAGGACATGTTAAATGCATGTACCAGTAGCTTAAAATGATTTTTTTAGAATAAGCGTAAAAACACTTTTCATTCAAAATCTGAAGTATGCTGCAATGACAATACTAGCTGTTGATATATATTGAAAATAAATGAGTGAAAATTGAGACCTAGTAAAGTGGCTGTCTTAATGTATTATAATTGTCCCTTAATATCTGAGTGATTCCATCCCTGTTTTTACTTACGCCGACACTACACATCATATTGCGATCCCACAAATATTTGAAATGGGTTATAAATGATTAAAAATTTTCTTTTCTTTCTTTTCAAGGCATTAAAAGTAACGATGAAAAAGCCACCACAGTCACTCAAGTTGAATGAGCCTTTAAAAAGCAAAAATGACGCCGTTAAAGATACAGCAGAGGTTTTATATGATGGTAACTATGATATTTTTTCTGTACCAAAAACTGATCAAAATTTATATCTAGGTCGCACTGAAACTGCTGAGACCACAAGACAATTTTGTAATTATATACTAGGCGCCTTTCGCTTTTTGCCTGCAGTGCCCTGTGCTATTTCAGGTACTATTTAGTGTTAGCAAAGTTCTCGCAGACATTTTTTGACATAACAATAAACGTTCTTAGTAGGACGCATTGTTACTTAAATGTATTTTTTCTCAACATTTTGATGCTAATATACCGGTATCTAGCACTTGAAGATATGGTTCAACTTTACTTCTTTGGAGGATAAAGAAGTTGCCTTAAAAAGTAAAATAAAGTAGAAATAACTCATTGACTAAAGATATGAAATACAAATCTCGCTCCGATTAGCTCTGAATTTAGGTGGAGTTGCATTTTATTGGCTTTTATAGTTTATTGCCTTGTCTTTGAACGCAGATTGTTGGTATGGTACATGAATTAAAATAAACAATTTAATATTTATAAATTATTAGTACAAGTCAGACAAGTTAATTTATTTTACAGGACCTGTTCGGGAATTGTGCCCATTGGCTCCAAATAATGTTAACACAATGGCGGCCGCTGCGGTAGCGGCTCACAACCTGGGCTTCGACAACGTTCAAGGTTCGATTATCTCAGATCCAAGGTATACTTGTCACATTTATAAATGAAATCTGATGCTGATTATACTGCACACTCAAGGTCGCATCAATCAAACTTATTTTTGTAAAGTAATCAAAATGTCAAAACAATCAAATATAGATTTATTGATCATGATTCAGAATAAGGTGGAGCAAATTTTAATGTAACGTTTGTGGTGATTGCGTGCAATCATATATTCATAATAATTAGTTTGATTGATAATTTGATATCTGCGTCATGACAGCTTCAAGTTTGTTTCAGATGCAGCGTGTTCGAATGTATTAGTAATAGCAGTTTAAATACCAGGAATTTGAAAGCTTTTATTGCAGCTTTACTATTGGTCAATTTAATTTTATTTACCATAACTCATTAATAAAATTTTATTATTGTTTTCTAGACAAGAGTAAGTCTTGTATTTTTGGAATTATGACAATACATGTATTGCTTATTTCTTTGTTTACTCTTCGATGATAACTCTTGAAGTATTGACATATATTTACTTACATGTACTTTATTCAGCGCATATTTCATCATATTTTAAGGTTAACGGAATGGCACGTGGTACAAGTCGATGTTTGGGGACCAGGAAATATAGCAGACGACACCGCATTCCATTGTCAAACTGTCCGTCGAAATCCTGCCAAAATTGGGGCGGTAACTGGATCAGCCACCTATGCGTCATTCTTGTCCAGCATGATCGGTAATGTGAATGTTGCATGTTAATAAAATTAAAAATGACGATTTTCTTAGGAATAAGCTTAGTCTATTGACTTGAAAGTCTTTCGGTTTGTTCTCCCCAAATCATGTCGCGCCATTGGTACACGACTGCTTAAACGGTGTAACCGTGAGAATCACACGCTATTAAAATCACATTTATAGCCTGCAATCTACGTCATTTTCATTTTTAGATTTAATTTCAGACATCGACGATATTCATGAAAATTTCTTCGTATATCCCATTTCTACTGAAATGTCCTGATATTTTATGTCAAAAAGTTGTTTTTAGTATCTAGATCTACCAATCCTTACAACAATATCAAATGATGCAGAATTTAACATGATGATCAATATGATAAGTCCGAATGTCACGATTATGCCATTGAACCGACGAAAAGAAAGTTATGAGTGACGTGTCAAAGTATGCGGGTTTTTTTTCTGTTTCAAAAAAAACTCATTTGTGTTTGTTGGCTTTTCTTTTCGCATGAGATATAGATCGATATATAAAGGCCTATAGTCTGTGATTTATAACCTTCACAACTTAAGTCAATCGCATCTTGTCGGCTCGTTCCGTCAAATTTCGGATAAGGGATTATTATGAATAATAGCCGAGATGTTCCGATTCATGGGGGGTATGCGCATAATTTTGTAATATTTATATTTGTATTTCAGGTGCTCACGGGAAGGGACCTGGCGTTCATTTATGTTAGAATTACATGTATATTCAGGTTCTACAGTATTTCAAAACAGTATTATATTTAGGAAAATGGGGCCATTTGCAGTTTTCATTTGTGCAAAAGTATAGATCTGTATAATTATGTATGTTATGTTTTTACTTATTTTGTATTTATGGTCATGGTAAAATAAACCATATTTCTTTAAAGCGAGTTGCTTATATTGTGTATATTATCAAAGTATAGAGCTTAAAACAAGGTAGCTGAGCAGTTTGGCGACATAAAACAATTATATGTTTCTTTTACTGTACTGCAAATTCATAAGTGTAACGTACATTTGTTTTACTTATCGGAGATTCTTATAATCAGTTCTGAAATTGTTGCTAGTGTAGTTTGAATACACAGATTATGTCACTTTAAGTATTGATTCAATAACCGTGTCCACAGTTACCTAGGTAATCGATCAATCGATGTATGATGAATTTTAGTGTTATGAAGCAAAAGAGTTTCAACGAATCCCAAAACGAATGAATTTAGCGGGCCTCTAGTAGAACAAGCTGAGGGGACACATGAGTAGAATTGCCAAACTTCCATCCAAATTGCTAGATATATCACGCCAACATAATCAGAAGCATATACTTTACAATCATTTTTGAGGCAAATGCAGGCATTCGCCCAAACATTAGTACAAACCGATGTTCGAGCATGAAAAGGTACAAAACGTGGGACATCTACCCGTCAAGATGTATTTATACATTAACAAAAGATGTTGGGAGGACAACGTGTTCTACAATTCTCAGTGTTTGATTGTAAACAAGACCGGGTGATGTAGAATTGTTCTTAGAAAAAAAACCATAATTCTGTTAAAATCCATGTTACAGTTATGGGCCTTGGATAGTGACCTCCCTTTATGCCCTTTGATAAGTGTGTGAAGTTTCAACCCATTCCCTTCAGTTATTTTTAAGATGCCAACTTAATTGCACCAAAAAACTTATCCCGCGTGTGATGTTGACGCCTGGATGAGTGCAATAGTTCTCCCTATTCTTTGTATAGTCGAGTTTATAACTTGAAGTAACTTGCAAACATTATAATATAATGTGTATCATATATAAATATTCTTACAAAAGTAAAATAATTGTTTAGTTGATAGAAAAGTACCAGGAATCAGCATGGTAAAACATAATAGAGTAAAGAAAAAAAAACACCACATTAAAATTGTGTCACTGTATAAGGTACTGATGAGGGCAAAGACCCTGCAGTTGTTAAAATACGCTTCAACTGATTTACCACAAGTCTGTATTGCTGTGATTGGTTTTTAAGTCGCACCAACACAGAAGAGGTCAATTGGCGACACCCAAGCTTTAATGGTGGTGGAAGACCTCGGGTAACCTTCCGTGCATTATTTCAGGCACGAACGGTCACCGACGTTCCGTAAGCTAGCTGGATATCTTCCACACCTGAAATAATCCAAAGCCGGTGCTAGGGGGCGTGATGGATGTGCGGATTTTTATACTTTGAAACATAGAAAACGCAGTCAAGTTTCACATTGATAGAGAGACTAAGGCTCGATTTTTATTATCAAAACTAGTCAGTGAACCAGAGTAACAAAGAGTCATTTATATTAAAGTTGATATATTTATGTCTGTTATATAAATTTATGACATATCGAAAACAATGTGTTACTTTTAGTTTACTTTTAAACTCTTGCAGTTTTAGTATGTTATTCTTTTGTGGGTTTTTTTTGTATTTTTGTTGCTGTTTTTTTTTCGACGGGGGTATTTTTCTTTTCGTGACTTGTGTTGGAGTTTGAAGTTTATTAATACAATATCGTGTAAGAGAATTAAATGAGGCATGCATTTATTGTTCTGTTTTTCCTCTTTACAACATATTTCAAATACCAACGAAATGCAAACATATAATTACTTCATTACCTAGATCCAAATAAATTTTAACATCGAACTTAAAACTTAATTATTGTTTTTTTTTTCTTTCTGTCATTCAATGGGGTTGCACATTATGTGCGGTCTACATTACGTAATTATATATAAATACAGATATAGTACGACGGCGCGCGGGAATTGCACCGGAAGTGACGGTATGCATCTTCTGCTTCGAAACAAAGACATAAACTATCAAGCTGACGCGCGGCTGACAGGCTGGGACGATATGTCGAGAAGCTACACTTCTCACGATCTAATTAATTAACACGCATTAAAATTCATAAATCCTAGATTATTTAACTTATCTAACAAGTTGAAAACTTGACTGGTTGCCCCTGTGATGGTTTGATGTTTCGGAAATTTTGAGATATTTTGTGATTTTGTTTTTCATATCTAATTTCGTTTCGGACTTTAACAAAAGACATGGTATGGTATTTCGGTTTTTTTATATTTTAAGATTTATTTACATTTAACATCTTGTTTCAAATTTATACAACGTATAAGTCTGTCCCAAACCTCACTGGTATTCTGTTTCTTTGAATCTTTTTTTAAAATATCAAAATAACATGCTATCATGATTAACATGTCTCTTGTGTGGTAAGTGAAAAGTTTATCGGGTCCAAACAAATTTTTGCTGATTTATAGGTTTCGTGTATGGTCAGTGCACATAATATCGGGTTCTTACAAATCTATGTTTGTTGTTACAACACCTCATCAATTCACTAGAGAGCTGTTGTTCAGACACCACATCGTTATAAGGCAGGCTGTCATTCAGCTTACCATTACTTATGTCTTCACTTTTGCATATATTTATGCATGCCAGAGCAGAGGAACAGTTCCACTGACCGTATGATCAATTATAATGAAAGTGATACATGCATCGTCCGTGAATCGAACCCTGGTCGACCAGTCTAACACTCTACAGGGTTGCTCTGTCTAAGACTCTACCGGATTGCTCAGTCTGACACTCTACCAATTGAGCTAACCGACTTGAATTTGACGGGTTACGAGTTATGTCTTCATAAGTTCAAATGTTGTTGATGTGATAGGCACTTCGTCGCTTTGGTCTTAGGCATTATATTTATGAAATTACTCTAGTTAAAATGACGTATGGATGCCTGTATGGGGATAACCTCATGCCTATATTACAACTCGTATTTCAAGGAATATTTCCTGTCTTACTTTTATTATTTTAACCTTTTATTGTAATATTGAAATACGATACTTTTTATTATTATAAGTTTAATATTTCCTTTTATGTTGTCGCCAAAATGTCACGATATATACTCAGTTAAAAAGAGTATGCAAATGTTATTTACATACAAATGCAAACTAGTTGGGTGTACATTTAGTATATCAAAATTAGCATTCATGCATTGTCTATACACAGAATGGTTTAATTTGTATTGGAATTTGATTATTTTCATTATTTTGAAATCTTGTAAGATTGCGGAAAGGTGGGGGTAAAGTTGCAGAAATTTTATTTTTAACTTTTTTGTCTCATTACGTGATCATTACGAAGGTCGTCTAAAATCAGTTTGACTTTCTGTAAAATTTACAAGGTAGGACTAAATATAAAATATTTTTTATTGTTTGCGCTCTTTTCATCTAAGGGTTAACGAAAGTTTCCGAGACTGCATGGACGTTGGTTTTTCAAAATTAATATTTTATGATAATATTTGTGATCTTAATCTCAAGATTTACAAATTTAAGAGATCATCTTTGTTTAAAGTATGTGAGGCATTCTGGTCGATTTTAGAAAATGATTCATTTATAGTGTACCAGGGGATAAATCGTGTTATACGTGTTTTATATCACACGGAAATTCCCGGAAATAAACATTTTAAGTCATGTCTCATACAAAAAAATTAACAATGTACCTCCATTTTAAGTGTAATGAGATCAGAATTTGTGTGTCCTTATTTTAATCTACAATGAATCAGCATCATGGGGAAGTCACAATGCGCAAGTGTAACATGTGTGAACCATGTTACCAAAACATAACCGATTGATGATCTGTGACTTTAAAACGCTTTATCAATTTTATTAACCGGAAGCTTGTCGATAATTCAAATGCAAAAAATGTCATATGTCAATAAGACGACAATGCATCTATTATTCTGCAGTGCATTAAGAAATCTTCCCTTTATAAAATCGAACTTTGAATTACTGATTTTTTTTGTCGAGCATTTACGCCGACATTAAAACATTAAATATCTGTTGAAGTATAATTTTACTTATTGTTGATGTATTTAAACGTTATTTTTTCTTATCTTTAACATGCATTTATTACACTTTAATCTATTTATTCATTGAAAAGACCACCATTGAAGAATTTTATGTATCGAACTTATACACGTTGTTTTAATTCTATTTATAACGCGAACAAAACATGGCTGCGTACGTATAGGTCTGTCTATTCCGTACGATTTACACAGAATAAGGGAACATCTAATGATATATTAAAGAATAGGTCAGTTATTTACAAAATAAAAATGGTCAAGAACGGCGCAGCCAATTTTCAGTAGATAACTTCAATGCTTTTGCACGTTTAACCAAAATGAAAGTTCTAAGTCAATCTTATGGTTGTCATGAATATTCAAATTATTTACTTCTTCTTACTTACGCGCTACCATTTTTTTTCAAAATACACATTGTAGTTATAAATGTATCTTATGAATAGGGTACTAGTAAGACTTAAAAAGACATAAAAATGTTTAATTTTAATAGAATTTATTCTTCCACTAGATATTCATCAATATTCTTTTTCTCATTCGCAGAACGCGCATGCGCAAAGTATCTTTTGCGTTGCTATGGGGCGATGGTGTTGTAAAAGGTCTTATTAAAATGGGTTAAAATTGGATAAACTATCCAAATGATATTCACTTTCTTCTTCGTGAGACTTCGGCATTTTTCGCAATTTTCCGTGCCTGAATAATAAAAACTCGTCGCTGGTGTAACCAGGAACAGACTATTTTCCCACCAAACGGTAAATATCAGGTACGAAAAATGTAGAATATTTGTGAACTGAAATGAGCTACCGTTGGATGAAACACCTAAATGAGAATTCCTAAAACATGTGCAATCTTTCAGCTTCATCATCCCTAGCTATTTTTTTATTGTGACGTAATCAATCAATCTTTTTTATATATATATGAATAAACGCGCTTTGACATGTTTATTGCACGTAATTAAATGACAATTGAAAATATGTGACGCTAAATTGTCCCATGTGAGGGACAAACTGTTCGGATTATTATTAGCATCAAAGTAAATGCCCTCAGCCTCAGCTTAAATGAGCCGCGTCATGACAAAACCAACATAATGGGTTTGCGACCAGCATCCGCGCAGTCTGATCAGGATCCATGCTGTTCGCTATCAGTTTCTCTATTAAGTACTTGTTATAGAGTTTGTAAGCGAACAGCGTTGATCTTGATCAGACTGCGCGGATGCGCAGGCTGGTCTGGGTCCATGCTGGTCGCAAACCCATTATGTTGGTTTTGTCATGACGCGGTTCAAATAAGTATATACTTGTCTTAATAAGAGACAATCAAACTTTAGATATGTTAATGAAGATAACAAATGCCTGTAAAGATTGCTTTTGAAATTGAATATCATTGCTGAAAAATGCCGTTCAATATCTAATATTAAAAAGTTAAAAGATGTCAATAAAAGCAACTTCGAAGAAAACGTGTTATCATTTTTGTTTTTCGTACAATAGTTGCACCTATTTAAGATTTTTATACAGTTCCGCTTTAATATCTTAGAAAACGTTTATAATACGCGAAACACATATATATTTATTTTATTCTAATAAATAAAATATGTAGAAACTTTGAAGAAATAAAATGCGTATATTCATTTTCCGCAATTTTGACTTTTAAAAATTTATTTTTCACTTCAGTGAAACATATTCTCCGTATTTTCACTGATGTCTTGAAATACGACTTTCTTTTAGATTCAGTCAAATACACAAAATTTAAGGGGAAGTTTTTCAAATTGATATGTCAAAAAACGAGAAAAATGTATAAAATATACAGAAAAGATTTTTTCTATAAAGCATATAATTTTATCTTTTGATATGAAATTAACCACCACTCATGAAATACTTATTTCCATACCACTCGATGAAAAAATAGGTATTTAAAGAAAAAAAAAACCTTAAATATCTTCTATATATTATGTCCCATGGGAAACGAAACAACAAAATGTTAAACGCAATAACGTTTGTAAACATCACCTATTTTACCACATTGTTTTATATTTGAAAAATGCATATATTTAAGTTAATTTCAAGTATTTGAAACACCGTATTCCCGTATGTCCAACAAATAAAACAATATAAAAATAGTTTATCTTTTTAAGAAATATCAACAGCTTGAATTAATCTAGAATAAACTCTGTGTGTATTTCACAAATTGTCACATCAAACCTGTGAAATGTCAAAATATTATTTGTATATATACTGCATGATTTATATTCCTTTTCACATACCATCTTATTAAATAAATGTTGCAAATTTAGGTCTTAAATATTGCATTCAAAATGTGTGTGTAAACAAGGCGTATTTTCAAAATTTGCATAACTTGCATCACAATTATTATGCAAGCTTCAAACCTCAACATTAAGGAAAACAATCTATTTATTATATTCTTTTCAGGTTTTTTATCATTATTTTTAACCTCCAACGTTTCGAGGGGATAAACCCCTCTTTATTAAGGAGTTTCTGTTTCCTTGATAAGGAGGGTTTATCCCCTCGAAAAGTTGGAGGTTATCAACTTTGTGGAGCACATACTTATTATTTGAATGTTTCCAGAATGATTTTATCATTATTATTGTTGCTATTATTATTATTGTTGCTATTATTATTATTATTATTATTATAATTATTATTATATTAGTATTATTATTATTAGATTATTATCATAATTATTAATATTATTATTATTATTAGATTATTATTATTAGATTATTATTATTATTATTATTATTATTATTATTATTATTATTATTCTATGTCACACCACTATTGAAATTTGAAGTTGTTTGTTTTTTTACTTCACAGGTTTCTCGCCTTATACAGTTGCGTGTTATCGTCACAACGTTTCTTCTGTCGGGAACATATTTGTCGTCTGCTCAACAACAAAAACCAGGTATCACGACTTCTTGTTGTTGTTTTTTTTCTTCTCTGTAATTGAGAACTTTTGTCTTGTAAGACTTTTTTGTTAACTTTTGATAATCATTTCATTACATGTAATAGAAAGAGCATCGAAACACGAGGCTATTTGATTTTTACGAGGGGGCATAGCCCTCGAGTATAAATCAGATTGCTAAGTATTTTGATTGTTCTTCGTTATCCCTTTCTCTGTCGTCACATTAAGTAAACCTCAGAAAAAGAGCCAATCTATGAGCATGCTCTGGAGTGCGGGTAACTAATACCTGCACTGTGCATTTATGTGTCTGACACATGGGTTCCAGCAGTGTAATGCCTAATTATTAACTCTTTCAGAGTAATGGTAATCTTTTGCCTTTGACATCGGTATAAAACCAGGCTACAGTACTCATGACCATGTATACTAGATATTTTACTATTTTCTATGGTGCCTGATTTGTGCAATGTCGTATGTTCGCTCCGCCAGAGAAAAACACGAACACATTGTCATTCTTTCTACGCGGGACGACATGCTGAATATGAAATCACGACAGAATGACTCGTTTCTTTGTCGTATATTCAAATTTTCGTCCGGCGCCCCGCGGAGTGAAAATATGATATGGTATAGATTACTGCTGTGTTTTGAACATGGATTAAATTACAACAGAGAAAGAATCGATCTCCAAATCTTATCCGCCGGTAAAAAGAGCCTTTATTTCCGTGTAGTCCAATACATTTTGATAATGCTACATTATCAGTGTGCAAGATAAATACATCTGAAAAGAATGCTTTTCCCTATTCTATCAATGGAAAATAAGCTTCATTTTCAACGAATAAAACTATTATTTTACAAATTGCTTAACGGTTTGAAACATTTGAAACTATTTGAGATCATTATATCGTTTGCATGATATTTCAGTCGCAGGATGCAGACCGATTGCGGATGTGATATTTTTGTTGGACGGTTCTGACAGTATATCCGAGCAGGAATTCAGTCAGCAGCTCGATTTTATCAAGCGTTTCGTCCAACTGTCGGACATCAGTCCGGAATCGGTACGTGTTGGACTGACGGTAGTTAGCAGTACAATTGGTGATGAGTTTCCACTTTCTTTGAACTCGACCAAAGAGAATTTATTACAAGTACTGAATACGATAAATCAACCGCAAGAGGGAAGTCGAACCGACTTGGGACTGGTTGAAATGGAACAATTGTTCAACAGACACGGTGAAAAATTATTATTTTTACAACATATCCAATTTATATAATATTTTATCAATGAATTAAAATGGAACCTTTGGTCCAGCTCCTTAAGCTCACCCAATACGGAGAGCATGCAGTTCGTTGGTTCTTAATGCAATCATACTTTATTGCTAATCAAAAATTTGCAAACATACACAGAAATAACAGGTTTTTGTAATGATGAATAGACAAAGGGTTGGGCTCAAGTTCTTGCAACATTAGCGATCGACCCTCCCTATCGACCCAACTAGTTGTTCGATGCACGGGCAAGACGAAATGTGCGTGTATTCTATGCTTTATAAGGGTCCATCAGCTCTTTCAGGCAGTGAGAGTCAGACCCTTGACATCTCACCATTCATGTCATTAAAAGTTATTACAATTATGCCAAAATGTGACATATAATTTTTGAATGAATGATACTAATTTATGCAAGGTGTTACTGGACATTGGTCCAATGGTCATTTGTCTCTTAATTACCACTGACTCAGAAATCATCTGTGATTAGTAACCGGTCACTTGCGAAGAAATTGGTAATTACCCATCAGTTATAAAAAAAATGGCCGAAAAATAAATAGACCAAACAAATTCTAAAGTAGGATCGTTGAATTATTATTCATTTATTTATTTATTTATTTATTTATTTATTTATTTATCTATTTATTTATCTATTTATTTATTTATTTATTTTCTATTTTCGCAGATTGCTGGAATTCCTATTTTATTTTTACTTTCAGCAAACGACCTTTTGTACATCACTGTACTTTTGTTTTCCCCTTGAAATATATGCGCATACGAAAAATTCATAGAAAAAAATATTTCCATAATTACCAAATATTTTGAATAATTTTAAAACGAAATTTCACTTTTTTGGACGGAATGTCAAGTTTTTAATACCTTTATTGTAATGTTACACTAAAAATGTCCAGTTTGCATTCATAAACTTCAAACAATTCACCACATTTATGACGTAAGATGTCATTGTGATGTGTATATTTACGTCAAAATTCGATCCTATCCATATTTTGGAGTTGAGATAAACACCTGTTTTAAGTCAAAAAGGTACATGTACAGCCACGGTTAATAAACACGGAAGGGTCATAATTTTGTTTTATTTACATCATTTAGTACATCGTGGTACTGAGTAATTAAAGTGGATTGGTCGACAATGAGCACAAATAGCCAGCCCGCATAGCTCAATCGGTTATAGCGCAAGACTTGTAATCTCGACATGGTGCGTTCCATTCCCGGGCTGGCCAGCTAAAAACTACTTATCAGTCTTTCAGACGAGACTTTAAATCTCGATCCCGTGTATGAGTGCTTAAATCCTTGGCACGCTAAAGAACCAGGGGGAGCTTTTGCAATTTGGGGCATCTTTCTGTATCTGTATCTTGCATTATCTTCCAAAAATATCAAATGACTAATACTCTTCTGGAGGACTCAAATACACACACACAATCGGCACATTTTCCATAATTATTTCAAATATTGATAAAAACAGTGGAAATGTATCATTTGAATATTCGTATGAAATGTTGCTTGAAAAAAAATGTTGGTTAAGTTGTAAGTGATGTAGAATGAACATTTTATGAATAATAATATTTTGTTCTAGAACATACATTAATTTAGTATTATTATCCGCACTATAAATATATGGAATATCTCATCATGCGTATCTTACACTTGCCACAGCTTGAAAAATGTATTATTCTTTCGCGGTTTGTTATTATATCTAATACTAAATATTGTCTGAGTAACTATTAGAGACCTTTCATTATAGACCAATTCACTTTAAAGGAACTCCACCGAAGTTTAAAAGCCCAAAAAATTCATAAAATGACTTCTTACATAGATCAGCTGGGCTCATACAACAAAACGATTTGCAAAAGAAAATTAAGAAATACTCAAAAAGAAATTGATAATCGTACCTTACGCTATTCTTAGCCCGATTTGAGTGAAAAGCGTCTCTTAACCCGATTTGAGTGAAAAGAGTTTCTCAGCCTGATTTGAGTGAAAAGCGTTTCGAAGCCCCATTTGAGTGAAAAGCGTTTCTTAGACCCATTCGAATGAAAGCGGTTCTTAGCCCCATTTGAGTGAAAAGCGTTTCTAAGCCCCATTTGAGCGAAACGCGTTTCTTAGCCCCATTGGAGCGAAAAGCGTTTCTAAGCCCCATTTGAACGAAAAGCGTTTCTAAGCCCCATTTGAACGAAAAGCGTTTCTAAGCCCCATTTGAACGAAAAGCGTTTCTAAGCCCCATTTGAGCGGAAAGCGTTTATACGCCCCATTTGAGCGAAAAGCGTTTCTAAGCCCAATTTGAGTGAAAAGTGTTTCTTATCCCATTTGAGTGAAAAGCGTTGCGAAGCTTGTAAATTTTCAGTCATTCTTCACAATAAGAATAATTATTTCGGTAAACAGAGTAAGAGAATGATCTGAAATTTTGCACACAAGTTACTGGTCTCGATATACATTAAATGGTGTATTATGTATTAATCTTGAAAAGTAATTAGTCCCTTAATGTAAAAAATAAACTCATTTGTGTCCCTTAACGTATTTTGTACCATTACCTAACGGCAAGCTGTTAACTACTTTCATCCTTAAACTCTCCTTAAACTCTGACAGAGTCTTTTATGAACAATGTCTTATGACATACAATGTATACTGTATAGAACCATTTATGAAACACATCCATATGAAATGTACGATATTTGTCGAAACAGAACTTTTCCCTGATTATCATTTTTAATTCCTTCTTATTTCAGCAAGGCGTGGTGTTTTACGAATCGGTGTCATTCTCACAGACGGACGGGCTAAATATGTACGGGCGACTGAGGGAGAAGCGCGTGTGATAAAGGACGCTGGCGTCTTTCTTATCGCAGTAGGTGTCGGTAGATTAATCAAGGTGAGCAGACGACGCTGCCTTTTGAAAATAAATTATCATAACAGTTATTTTCCCGCCAAAAAAAAAACTCTCCCGTGTTGTCTGGTTTTTAAATTTTGAACTATTCATTGTTCAACAAAGGTTATTTCATTTTATTTTGACGTTCAACGTAGAAACTTTATTTTTTCGATAAATGAACATATTATAATTATGATTATGAATATTTTAAAAGTATATACCAGACCATAGATTACCTTTCTATCTTTTATTATCTTTATAAGCATAATGTAAACAAGCTGTTTGAAACGTTTTTTCTGTTGTAAACATTTGTATATTATAAAAAGAAAAACAATCGGAGATTTAGTTTGTAAATTTGTTGAATATATGTTTGCTTATACGAACTGGAAAAATTAATAGAAAACACTAGCCTTTAATTGTAACAGAGGACATTATAGCCTCTTGCTAGATAGAACGGTTTGGTTAGACTTTTCTACTGGTCACGTAGGAAATCAAAGTTATTTTCCAAAAGCTGAGACAATTAAACACAAAATTAATACATTAGCAATTTTAAAACATAACGCTTTTTCAATGTGTCAAAATTACAATACACATATTTAATTAATTTAAGATTTTATGTAAAATATGAAATATGTTATTAGGTCACGTAGGAAAAGTCATTTACCAAAATCTGTGGAAATTCAATACAAATTTAATACATTAGTAAACATAAACACTTTTTCATTGCGTCAAAATTACAACACATATATGAAATTAATTTAAGATTTTATGTAAATTATGAAATATGTTGTTAGGTCACGTACAAAAAATCATTTACCAAAATCTGTGAAAATTAAACACAAAATAAATACATTAGTAAACATGAACACTTATTCACTGTCTCAAAATTACAATACATATTAAATTAATTTAAGATTTTATGCAACACATGAAATGAGTTGATAAATTGAATTCTGTTGATTTTTGTACTTAGACATTCATATAGAACAACTTGCTTTCAGTTTGCTGAACTAGAGAAAATAGCATCAACAACTAACAATGCTTACAATTTGGAGCCAATCGACAGGTCAACTAAGTATCTCGCCGAAACTGTTGCATTGATTGGACAAGATGCATGCACGGGTAATTATTTATTTATAGGTGTTTTTTTTATCTTATGTACATGTACATGTATTTTATTTCATGTAATATTTACTTTTTTGTAAAAACTTATGTCCGGCAAAATCTAATGTTGAATTAATTATGCGTTTTTGTCTGAAGAATGTCTTTACTTGTCCGTATGATATATATTAAGTAATTTTTGAAAATTTTCAATTGTCCATACAGACTGAGGGACAAACTTGGCAATACAGACAATTGATTTTTCTGTCCCTGTAACCTTCAATGAACATCAGTAAAACCTAAAATTTAAATCAATTGTTATAAGTTCAATTTTAGATCGGTGTCATCTTTCTACTATAACCTTCAAGTATTCAAGAATCAGGTCATTTCTTTTCCAGGTCATAACCTGGTAAACCAGTTTAATTTAAATCCGCCGACACAATTATCCGGTGGTAACATAGTTAGCAACCAAGAACAGGCGAATATAGCATCAACACTTATGACAAGTAGTCAAGATCAAGCTCTAACGAATAAAGCACCAACACTTACGGCAAGTAGTCAAGATCAAGCTCTAACGAATAAAGCACCAACACTTACAGCAAGTAGTCAAGATCAGACGCTCTCGAATGTAGCATCAACATTCACAAGCGTGCAAGAGCTACAAGCGGCCAATCAACCACTCCTTAATCTAAATCCTTTTAATGGAAACCAGCCTTGGCGAATTAACAAAGCTGTACCGAAGACAGATTCAACCCAATTGTATTTAGAAAACTCCGGCGGAATCTTGCCAAGTTCTGTCCAGTCAGCCGTTCAAATAGCCATATCACCAATGTTAAATTCAAACGCCGCAAATTCTAGCCCGATCAGTGCCTCCACAGCGGTAGACCCCTCAATTGATCCCTCATTAATCGGCTTAGAATATATCAGCGGAAACCTTCCTGGTCCAGTGAAGCCGAACAAACCGATGGTGGATAGATTTAGTAGTAATTTTAATTCTGTGAAACAAAGTATGCCGGACAAACTAGGCATGGCTGTAGAAACTGTGAATCAAAATGTGCCCGGTCAACTAGGCATGGCTGTAGAAACTGTAAATCAAAATGTGCCGGGACAACTAGGCATGGCAGTAGAAACTGTGAATCAAAATGTGCCGGGACAACTAGGCATGGCAGTAGAAACTGTGAATCAAAATGTGCCAGGACAAGTAGGCGTAGCTGTAGAAATACCTGCAGCTGATCAATTAATGTTGAATTTGGATTCAATCAATGGAAACATACAATCTGTACAGACGAATTCTGCCATGCCTATGGCCGATCTGTCACAAATTAATTTGCAATTTTCAAACAGGAACATGCCAAGTGATAGAACTAATCAAATGGACAACTTGCTGAAACAAAACAGCCTATCTTCGATCAGCAGAAACTTCGATGTGAAAATGGAGCCATTCATTGCCGTGGACACAATCAAGTCAAGAGTTCCAAGTCAACAATCTCCCATACCAGACTCAAATATTAACCTAGACATGTTCGGTTCACAGGGTACAGTCCAAGAACTAGCACCTTACAATATACAGATAGGAAATGATCAACGACCGCTGACAAGGTTTGCTGCACCGCAATTAGTCTACACGCCGGCTCCTAATGTAATGGTAGCCACCACAACTCCAGCCACTCAACATATTCCTGTTAAAGCTTCTATACCAAAGGTACCAGCAACAACAAAAAGCCCCAGACCGCAGCCAAATGTCGAAAAGTACCTGGAAAAAAGCCCAACTCCCGGCGAGACAGCAAATATGATAATCCAATCACTGATTGCAAATAAAGACCTCTCAAACGGTATTCTCTCTGATATGAATAAAGTGAACGGAGTAACTCCAAGCGGCGTGCTGCCAACAAGATCAATGGGTGCTAAAATCATTCCCACCCAGGGCGTGGGTGTAAATTTTCCTGGACGAACCGTTTCCGAGACATTGGCCTTTCTGAAACAGGAAATAAAGCCGGCGAGGACGGTTGAAGAGCATTTGAATCCAATATTTCAAATGTTTGATGCCACAGGTCCTGCTCAAAATATCTGGAGGACGAAAGCCGCAACTGTCCAGCCAACAACAACAACCATGTCACCAAGAGATTCCTACAGAAGAGCTGAGATGGCAGCCCTTAAAGGTAACTTTATGTGAAACTATAACATCTTTTATATAACGTGATTTATTATCAAGTCAGAATATATATAATCAGTTAATGAAAACAAACGCATGTCTTTTTCAGAAAAAAATGACGTTTATAAAATAACAAATGACGAAATTTCCGTTTAACGTATAGTTAAACAGAACGTGGCGTACATGAGGAAATAAAAAAAACTTTGTCAAATAAATGCAGAATCCCCCATACATAAATACAGCGATTTACAATAAATTATACTTAGTGTCCAGCTTTATTTGTCATCCAATGAAAACGCTGTATTTCTTAAAAATTGTGTGCGTTAATTTTCATAGAAGAAAAAAGTCGATACTATATTGAAATCCGTTCATAGTCGCCTTCTATTTTTCATAGTGTTTCATAAAAACGCGTAGTGACGTCATCAAGGGCCAAATAAAGCTTGACACTAAATATGTTAGTGTTCATCCGTAGCTGTTCTACAGAAATTAGAAACATTCTCCTGTCGCTATCGCTCCCGTCGAAGTTTCTAATTTCTGTACAACAGCACGGATGAACACTAACATATACATAGAATATGTATCTGCACAGGTGATACAAAAATGTTCATAATCAATAATAATATTATTATCAAGTCAGCACATCAAAATCGGACAAAATAACAATAAGTATAAACTTATGTAAAACATCTACATTAACAAGCTAAATAAAATGAGCCGCGTCACGACAAAACCAACACAGTGGGTTTGCGACCAGCATGGATCCAGACCAGCCAGCGCATCCGCGCAGTCTGATCAGGATCCATGCGTTCTATTACAAGTAGAGAAACTGATAGCGAACAGCATCGGTCCTGATTAGATTTCGCGGATGCGCAGGCCGGTCTTGATCCATGCTGATCGCAAACGCACTATGTTGGTTTTGTCGTGACACGGCTCAAATGTTTACCGGTATTTCCTTATATTTGTTATCTTTTGCGACAAAAAGAGAACCAACATAATTTAACGAAAGTCAATTTATATTTTCATTCAGACCACTGTTCAAAAGGACGTTTCGTAGACGGAATTTCTTATATTTCAAAGCCGGGAACATGTTCCGAGTTTTTACAATGTTACAAAGAGTCCAACGAGTTAAAAGCTCGAGTTGCCACGTGCCCGTTTGAAACTTTTTTTGATGACGTTCACTCGGTATGTCGTCATTACACAGAGCACAACTGTTGGACAGGTAAATATTATAAATCGTACATGTTTAAAGGCCCATTATGCCCAAGAAATACTTTTTTATTTCTCAAAACCATTTAGTTTTTCCAAACAGTTACTCATTGGCCAAATATCCGAGCTAACTTTTGTTTCTATTGCCCTTTTGGCAACTAGTACAGCTATAGTGATTTAGTACATGTACTTTGTATGGAAGTCAAAATACCACTTTTTTACATTCGCTACTTTTATGACAAAAACTTTTGCATTCAATGCTTCTTTCGTTTTGGTGATACATATCTAATATGTCTAAAACCAAAATTTAAACATTTACCCTTCCTAAAGATGGTAAAAATACTTATTTCTGAAGCATAATGTGCCTTTAATGAAGTAGATTCATATTGGTATAATGTCACAACGGGACTAACATATATACAAAAGGTATGTAAAACTTATTTTCGGCCTATTCTTACTACATATAATGCTTATCATTGTATCAAAACAAATAAAAATATTTATTTTGACATGCATATAAGTATAAATGATAATAATACTCGTATTTGACGCAATAAAACTCTTTTTATTTTCACTAACTGGTTTATATCAAACAATTATGTCTGACTTTTATTACACTATAACGAGTAAGTAATAATGGGTGTAGGTAAAAATGCATATAAATCATTTCACAATAAAAAAAAAATAAAAAAAATCATGTTTTTTTTTTTATTTTAGCAAGATAACAGTGTATATATCAAAGAGATTTTAAAATATAACATTATAGAAATAAGGTCAGTTATTTAAATCAAGATAACAATTCTGTCCGCAATTTTAATTAGTATTCAGTATGTAAAGTAAAAGCGTGAAATATTAATGAAAATGTTTACAAATTTATTCTAATGTATTCTCTGTTATGTATGAAAGGTTCGTTTCAATTTATGACTAAAATTGCATGGGAAAATGTTTCACGCAGTTATCTCCCCTACGTGTGTTTGCGATCTTATTTGTCCTATAATTAAGCTTTGGGCTCTAAACTTTCTCAAGTTTTGTAAAATATTTCTTCTATACATAGAATGAAAACTGTTAATTTATCCATTCAGTTGTACGTTGATAAATAAAACTTCTTTTCATTAATGTATAGTCACTAACACATGATGCATAAGGGTAGTTTCCATTATTTTTTATCCACACATATTATATACATTGATTATTTTTCAGACCCATGCGTGGACAACACTATTGCCTCATACGCACATCTGGGTAACTGTCGTGCCCACTGGAACTGTCAAGGGGGACAATCTAGGCCCGTCTGCTGTCCGTCTGGAACGTCATACGTACCAGGATTCGGTTGTGCACGTAACGTCACGTGCACGGACACGTGCATGGACTTTGGAAATCTTAATGAAGTTACACATGCCTGTACGTAGCTAAAATATTGTAATGAGAAAATTACATTAAATCTTATCGAGTTAAGAAAGTAAAAATTCAATTATTAAAATAAGTAAAAATAACTGTTTTCCGCTAAGAGGCTACGAAATGGAAATACTGAAGATCCATTTGAGAATATACGGGTATATAAAAGGACATTATTTATGAAAATGATAATTTTGCTTGGAATAATATTATATATAGATATTATTCAATTGTTGACTAGTGAGTATTGAATATGATGTGATATGAACAGAATGTCATATTGACCGATGCGATATGATTACGATTTGTAATTTATTCACACGATTACGTCAGGACCAATGATATTGCAGATATTTTTAGATCATAATGATATTTTTTATATGACAATCAATTATTTTATATACATGTATAGAACATTAAAGGCTACCTCTAAATTCTGTTCAAGTATTTAACGTTCATGTCAATGCTAAGTTACATTATCATTTATGATAAAACAACCCGTTTTACATACAGCATTTACATTATACATGATTTAATCCAATTATTTCTAAATTTTTAAGCAAAGTGCAAGCTCCTGTCTGTGGATGCTGACCCACATTTTTACTTCGAGCACGTGGCTGGTATGGGTTGGATGGTGCGCATGTGTGCTCAGGGGTCCAGGTTCGACCAGATTCTTTGTAAATGTCACGGTGCCAACGAAGTAGTCAAAGACGGTAAGGACTTTGTGAATTTAGACAAAAAATGTTCCTCAATAGTCTTTCTTCTGTAACAGTTTCCAAATTTGCCTCTCGCCGCTCTAGGTTCGAATCCCAACAACAGTTTTGAATTCTTTCATGTGCACTAGCTTACGGAATGTTCTTCTCAGTTCGCCATGTGACTAAATTCCAACAACAACAACAAATAATATTAATAATAATAATAATAATAATCAGGCCAAATATTAACGGATTACGTTCGTTCTAATAAAATATATATCTCTATAAAAATTCTAGTAAGTAACCCGTTACACATACTTTTGTGACATTTTTTAGTGTAACTACACGCCTTTTAGGAATTTTCTAGTGTACAATCTTTTCTTATATAAAGCGCACACCTTTCTGGTATTTTCTATAGTATTTTGCACAGTTGATTATTTCACGGCATTTCTTGTATGCGACAAGTCCCAATTTATGGAATTCTCAAGCTATACAAGTGTTGTAATAGAATAACCCACGTACGTCGTTCTGTTTTGACATTTTTGTTACAATAAACTGACATTTGTTTAGTAAAAAAAGCACTAAAAGCACACACCTTTGTGTCATTTTCTAGTATGCTATCCATTCTAATAAAACACATACCTGTCTAACATTTTATAGTGTGCAAGCCCGAGCTGTATATGGACTTCCAGGGTGGTCTAGTTGATGTGTCAGGGAATAATCTAGCTATGGGTATATACAATGTAGAGTTAGATGGCGGCACTGGAGCATTCTTTGGGAAATCTCACCTAAAACTCTGGCGATTTTCTGGGTAAGATAGATTCAAATTTTACGAGAACACTAGCTGCCGAGTTGCTATTCCCCGGAGAATAATCACCATGGGGAAAAAATGAAGGCTCGAACGCCGAGAGATGTTGCGCATTCCAATTTTTTCTCATGGACAGACTTGATAAAATAATCATCCATTTCTTTATTCAATTTTGTTGAGGAATCTTCACTTAGCAGGCGTTAAGTTCTGTGCGTAAGCAATATATAGTTGGTCCGTACTTCATCTCAGCGCTGTTATATATTTCTGATCCTTCCTGATAATTTATTTCAATATCTTTAGTGTTTAGGATTGAATGGGGCGTAGGGAGATGTTGCTGATTCCATTATATCACTCATGAACACACAATAAAGCTAAGATTAAAATATTCAACATTTTTGTAATGATCTCCCTCTTTCCACTCTTTCCAGAATTTCTATCAAGATTAGAACTGATTTAAATGTAGTTTCCTTTTTCGGAAGTGGACATACTATAAAATGCATTAAAATCTATAATTAACTCGCTTTTCAGAATGTCGCTGGGACAACACGTGACAATCAGCTTCCGGTTCCGGACAAGCGTTACCGCCAAAAAAGGTAAACTGATGCACATCGTTTCTAACTGTTGCTACAGTTGTGCTGGTGAACCACAGCCGTCCCTGGATGTTGCTATAATTCCCGCAGATCAAGGAGGTGTGGCTGTATTCAGTACTACAACTAGAGAAGCCGGAGAAATCTTCCTGTTTGTACCTTATAAAGATACTGTAAGTGAAATTTTGAATTCAAAGTTGCTCCAGGTACATACGTTGCGTGTGCGAAGATCAGTGATATAGTTTAAGATGCCCACTGTATTGTCTTTACGGTCTTGTGTTGCCATGGTACATACTCTTAGCCTTGACCTTGACATTGATTTCAGCCATTGTACATTATCTTGGCCTTGACCTTGATATTAGTTACATACATAGTACATAATCTAAGCTTTGACCTTGAAATTGATTTAAGTCATGGTATGTCATCTTAGCCTTGATCTATAAAATGATTTCATTTGAACATAGTCTGGCCGTTTATCAAGATAGATTTGGATGGCTGATGAGGAAACAAAATAAAATTGTTTGAGAACTGTCACTATCTTTTACGTTTTACAACTTAATGTTGTATTAACCTTATGCAGAGTGAATGTATTCATAGTATTATTAATGAGACGAGGGCCTTTGTTTATATTAATATTAATCAAGTAGTCATATAAGGAAGGAAGGGATATTACTTTATAACCAGTGAAGAATTGTAACCTGTGATATTTTCATTGTATGTTTCAGTTTACAGGCTGGAATAATTTAGAATATAGATATGATGGGCTCAACATGCGTGGAACAGTAAATGAACAATCAGCCCAGAAAAGCATAGTTGGTAAGTGATAACGTTATTTGTATGACTAGTTTCAGCAATTAGTTGGATTTGTTTCTGATGGTTCAGGCTTTTATACTATTCAATACATCCAGCGGTATATACTAAACATTAACTCCATACTCGCAATGTAAATGCATTTAAACGTTTTGCTTAACAATGGTTTAAACACCAAATGCTATAATGGGGCTTTTCATACAGTAAATTCTCAATGTCAAAATTAGACAGTGTCAAAGAATGATGCCACATGCTTTTAAGCATCTTTTTTAAAGGTAGCTAATTGTATATACTAAAATACAAAATAACCATGTTCAAAATACTAAATGCAGCAATCAATCAGCAATGGTGATGGCCTTTTTTGTTTGGTTGGGTTTTACGTCGCACCTATACGGTGACGGTAAAGGTCTTATGGTCACTTTCCAGCTTTACTGGAGGAAGACGTCAGGTGCTCCTCCGTGCATTATTTCCGGCATGAATGAAATACACCTGAGACACATGTCTTAAAACATGTATCTGAATGAATGAGACCATAAGATTCCCGATACAAGATTTTTTTAAAGAAAGAAATGTGCAAATGCATGTATATACATGTATATTAATCAAGCAAACTTTATGGGGTTTTTTTAGGTTTAGATAATTTTAAGTCTAGTTTCCATGCAAGGCTGTAATAACTACGTATTTGCATGGCTTTAATTTCAGTAAATGAAGCCAAGGTATTTTAAATCTTTATCTAAGATGAAAATAAACATTTTTTGTATAAGAAAAACTGAATTATCAGAGACTGCTATTACATATATGTATCAAAACGACTCTATAGGAAGTTTTAACAAATTGTGTGGCAACGAGTATCATAATGACCCTGCATTGTAAAATTTGTTGTTGTTGTTTTCAGGAAACATTATTGGTAGATCAGAGCCGTTATTGATTGGATCATGCGGACAAACAAATGCTTATGACGGATTCCTTGATGAGGTATACCAAACCTTATTTGTCTTACAGTTCTCCCTTTTTGTGCCACTTTTGCTCAATTGTATTTCCTAAAAAGCTTATGCTAATTTACATGGAGCAAGAAATTTGGTATTTCCCCTCGTGGCTGACTTTAATGGTTGAGGCATCAAAGTTGCAGACAAAGTTTATCCCTGCGTAGGGGACTAAATGGGTTTGAATAACTGGAGTCTATGCATCTCTTAGCTCCAGCGTGTGTGGTGGTATTGCTTTAAGTTTGTAACACCCAGAGTTAGACAAAATCATCTCTCCTGTTTTGGCGCCATATGGCCTAAACTGTGTTGGTGCGCCGTAAATAAAACAAATCAAACAGGAATTGGTATGAATTACTGCTATAAATGCTTTAAACTAAATTCTTTTGTAACAGCACCAGGTTCTCTATCAGATAGCAGACCTATATGTATTTAATATATTTTACATCACACGACTTTAATACTTTCAGCTAATTGCTTTGGTTTCCTCTGTCAAACTCATTATAAGTTACATCATATGACCGTTATCCTTGGTTTCCAAAAATCGCACCAGTGTGGACTGAGGAATCTAAAAAGAATATCACATCTTACACATATGCTTGCAAACACTTCATGTGACTTTCATTATGTTTCCTTTTCAGTTCAAATTCTACATGTGTAATCCTTGAGTAAAGAGCGAGTTGTCATGTTGGAGTTACAAATGTGCACTATCTTGGACAACTTTGAGTATTCGGATGAAACCTGCAGGAATTTATTTTCACATTGAATATTAAAACCTGCTTTATTAAAAATAAACAGTGCAAAAACTTGATGAAATAACACATATATGTCGGTGTGTAAGACATAAAATATTTAATAGTCAATACATGTATATTAACCTGGCTGCACTCATATAGACATGTTACATGTACATATAAATATTATTAATTTTAAAAAATAAAATCCAATGAACGATAGAAATACAAATACATATAATAATTCATGTTTGTACCGCCGATTTTCATTGGATAGTCGTGACATTTACATGTATATCATGTACATTGTTCATATGGTTGCTGTCTATTCATGATTTCTTACACGCTTCACACTATTCCCCTATCAAACAAATAGGGCAATCAAATGCAATAATACTCGATGTATATACACAACATGAAAAACGAATGATTACACGTCATATGACGCCAATAAACCAAATGACGTCGGGAAAATAACTTCTACACTCAATGTATTATCAATTCTCATTCTATTAGCACCTTAGAATGGAAATAGTTAATCACTGGGCATGTCGGCCATTGTAATTATATTCTTGCGCATTTAAACATCGTGCATTATTCTACAACAATTCACTCAAAATTGATAATGGTTTCCTAAGTAATTATTTTTTCTCAAATACTGAAAGTTTGCTGTATTTTAAATTAGTTATGTATTATAAATTAGTTACAAAGATTATTGACATAATATATATATATATGGCTGTATATAAACAGTTGGTTGCACTATAACCCAAGCAGACAGACAAGGGTTATATTGGCTTTCAACCAAGTAAATATGTCCATATAGCCTGATGGCTCAGATTATATAACCAAACAACCATTTATTTAGGGCCATAATTATAACCTATCAAAAATCTTTATAACTTACACTATACTGTACAGTACCCAAAAAAATGTATAGTTATAATAAATGATTGAAAACCTATTAGACATTACACTGTCAGATTGATGAAAGAATATGTGATATAATTCTTTTAAAATATATGAATTTACAAATGTCAATTGTAAAAAAGAATAATAATTCAATTGTTTTTTCCACATTCCATCAAAATCTTTGTTAAAATGTCATGAATTTTGTATATTTTCTGTATATCTTAATATGATAAATTTTCAGAACAATTTAAGAAGTCATTTTCCTTTTGATCAATATTTATTGATTTCATATTATACTGTCTTGTACATGTATTATAATAGCCATTTAACAATTCTTCAATTTCTACATATTTTTAATTATTACATTTACTTGGAATGAATTGGATTTATGTATTTACTTTAATCAAAACTGCCGTTCAGACGAATGAAACATTTTTTGTGTACATTATTAACTGCATTTTTATTGGAAGAGGTACTTTGTTAAATTAATACAACAACTCCACAGGTTTAACTGGAAGAAACTGGATAACATAATTATATAACGTTGTATATTATGAAGTACATTCCATTATTATTTTTGAAAGAAAAAATTCCAGTTTTCAAGTCATTGGAAAATATAGAAATTCTAGTGCACAGACAAAAATGTGTGAAATTTTGGCCTCCAAGGTTGACCTTGACCTTGAGTCTGGACAGTGTTAGCACGGGTTCTCATATTGCCCTGATGAGGTGAACATTTGATCAAAAAATTTTTAAAAAAATTTCTTTTGGGGGATAAAATTTAAAAAGCGGACACAAAAATTTTTGATATTTGACCCGGAGTCTGAATCTGTGGGAAAGGGGTTTTGCATTCCCTTGTTGAGGTGAAAATTTTGGGAGTTTTAAAAAAATCTTTTAAAATAGTGTGGGTTTATATTAAGAGCACCAAAAATTTGAGAAAGACCTTTTACCTGAAAGCCCTGCATGGGGTTTTGCAGGGTTGCCTTTTTATTGAGCCAAGTTGAAGAAAAACCCTCATTGAAGAAGGGTTTATAGAGCTGACATAATGGAGACGGACTGACAAATAGATAGACAAAATGAGGAGAAAAGGTGATTCCAGTATGGCCCCCTCTACATTATATGGCACAAGTATAACCAGTAGGTGCCTATCCAAGCCCTACTTAAGCGGACATAGCGGACACAAAGGAAGAACCATCAACCTTTAATAAGTTTGATTGATATGTAAATTAAGGACTAGTTTTAACTTATTATGAGCAGTATTGACATTTCACATTTAAAAATTATAACATTCCACCTAAAATACATTAGTAGCTGCCTTCATGATTGACAAAAATCTTTCTTAAATACAAGTATTACAATCATTAAAAAACAATAACAACTTACATATGCAAATGGTCAATATTTAAGATATATCTGGGACATAATATCTCAGGACAGGCAACTGAAGATTAGCATTATCTCTTCCTCCAATCAGATGGCCATTTTGTCTAGTTCATTCTGGTAAAAATGGTATTTTTTTTTCCTTAATAAAAGTGTAAGTAAGATAAATATAAACCTTTACATGATTTTATAAAACTCATTGATATTATTTTTCATAGTTACAGCATGAATGTAGGAATTTAATACTACATCTAACGAACAATTGTACACCACCATAAGACTGCTTGTCAAGTAATAAGTTGTTTGTCCTGATATATGAGCGGCGTCACGACAAAACCAACATAATGGGTTTGCAACCAGCATGGATCCAGACCAGCCTGCACATCCTTGCAGCCTGATCAGGATCCATGCTGTTCGCTATCAGTTTCTCTACTTGTAATAGAGTTGGTAAGCGAACAGCATTGATCCTGATCAGACTGCGCAGAAGCGCAGGCTGGTCTGGATCCATGCTGGTTGCAAACGCACTATGTTGGTTTTGTCATGACACAGCTCATATTATGTCCTAGTATATACTGAGACTGTTTAATAGTGATAAATATACAGTCAAACCTGTCTATAAAGGTCATCCTGGGGATAAACCTATCATTTACTTTCTAAACAAGTGGTCTTTATTAAGAGGTTACAGTTACTTTATTCAAGTAAATCAATGAAGGGATGCCAAAGAATTGATTGCCTATGTTTACAATGTGATCTTTAATCAGAGGTAGTCTTTGTTTGTTTGTTTTTGGGTTTTACGTCACATCTACACAGTATAGGTCATATCGCGACGTTCCAGCTATACTGGTGGAGGAAGACCTCAGGTGCCCTTCCGTGCATTATTTCAGGCACAAACGGGTACCTGAGTAGACCCACCGAGGTTCCGTAAGCTAGCTGGATAGCTTCCTCACATGAAAGAATCCAAAGTCCCTGTCGGGATTCGAACCCACAGCGGTGAGGGAAAAGTGGTTTGAAGTCAATGACCTTAACCACTCGGCCACGGACGCCCCTAGAGGTAGTCTTTAACACAAGTTTTATTGTACATGCAAATAATGTACATGTACTCCATTTTTACTGGATACTATTTGGAAATTGAAAATTTAATCAAATATTTCTACTTTCATCTTAAAATCTTCAAACATGTCAACAAAATATCTAGAGAATTGAATAATGCATTATTTCAAACTTGACACGCACACAAATATAATAAACATAAAAATTGTTCAGAACCATTTTAGTCATCACTAATGTCACCAGTCCTGTTAGTTTTGTATATGTTTGCGATTCTTGTTTCTTGCATACAACATTTATTATATTGTAAATAAGAGTCAAAAGCCTTTGACTAACTGGTGTAAAAATACTTAAAGCAGGGACTTTAATATCTTTTCATAAAATAATAACAAACAAAACTTTAACAAACATCAGCAAAGTAAAAGAAAATATTAAAATACTTAACAAAAATGTTAGTAAAATCACTTCAATGCATTTTGTTAGTAACAATTTATTAGAAATATGTATAAACAACACTTAAAATTAATTTTCTTCAATTAAAAATAAGAAATAAAATGAATCATTTTTAAATCATTTAAACACGCCCTACATTAAATACAGTAATGCCTTTTTTCATGTTAAATATAAACACCATTAAACACCATAAAACAGATTGCCTTGAAACAAAATAGAATTAACTTCTTCATATCAATAAACAAAAAATACACTTTCACCAATCGGAACGTCCTCGGCTAAGACAGATGGAAAGGGCCAAAAAGTTGATGATTGCCCTTTCACAAAATCTGAATGCATTCAATAAAGGGCGTCGTACATTGGCGCAGATGCCAACTATAAAACATTGGTATTATTATATAAACTAAACAAAAACAAGCATATGCAAGCAAAAACAAAAATAGAAGTTTATCTGTATTTTATGCTGATTGATAAAAAAGCACAAATATTCACAGAAACAGCAAACTGTTTGAGTAAAAGTAGCCCTGATTTTTTTTAAAAAACAGAGAATAATTATTATCCCTGAAATACACTGCAAAACACAGTACTCTATCACCTCAAATAACATGAGCAACACTGAAACATATTAAATACACTGAACACTGGTCCTTATTCTTCTAATACGTTTGACAATACATGTCTCTATCAAAATGTAACCGAAAAAATAAAACATTCACATTACACAATATTTTGTTCCTTAACATAGTTATGATAACTTATTCATGAAAACATGAATGACCCTGTAAAATCCAACAGCAAAATAATTAAGCTTAAATGTATATTTCCAGCATTCTCCTCATTTTTTAGTGGAAAGGGAAACAACTCTTACACTGCAGTTATGTATTTGTTACTTAGTTATAGTTTATGCATTATACATGTATACAAACGGTATTTCACTAGTATCACCGGTATAATAAACATGTAGCTTTAGACTATAGCTGATATGTGTTTAATCTTCTTTATTCAGTATTATTAAATTAAGTTCCACATAACTTCAGATGTTTATCAAATCAACATGCTAACAAGATCATGTTTTTTTGGTCAACATAATACACAAGAGCTTTCAGTAGGACAGTGGGCTCGACTATTTTCAGTACTTTATAGTAAAAAAAAAGCCTGGATAATGTAGAATTTTCAAAGTTCAAAAAGAGTCATAATTCTCAACCTATTATTTCTAGTAGTTTTGGTGTCAAAACTTGCATGCAAAAACTTAATCAAAGTGTGACACTAATGCCCCTGTCACTTTTATTTTGCTCACAAGTTAAACAAATCTCTCCAAGTCTGAAGCTGTTTAAGTGTGGAAGAACTGCCGCCACATACAATAACTAGAGCTGACTTTACGTCTCCTAATTTCCCCCTAGATTGTAAGTCCTGTAACACACTTCCATACACTGCAGCTAAACTGGCACCACATGCTGGCTCTACCAAAAATCTGTGATCATCTACAGAAAATAAAAAAAAGAAACAATTTTAACATTTATTATACCGATAGTAAACTTCACTTACATGTATAGCAAACTTAACAATCTTATGCATTTACTTGATACAGTTATTACTAAAAAAAATAACTCTTAATTTTAAAAGATTATCATTAATTCAATATTTGTAACACATAAATCTGTATTCTCATGGTTTTTTTTGTTTTGTTTTTTTAAATATTTTTTTGCTTGGTTTTATGCCCAAAGAAAAGGTCATATGGCGATTTTCCAGCTTTACTGGTAGAGGGAGACCTCAGGTTTTCTTCTGTGCATTTTTCATGGGCACGGAGTTGAACCACTGACATTCCATAAGTTAGGATTCGAACCCACAGCAGTGAGGGGCAAGTGGCTTGAAGTCAATGATTTTTATCTATTTACCACAGACGCCCCTCTGTAAAATGTGCACTGTAACAGATATATATATAAAGCCTTACAATAAATACTAATAAGTAACAACAGTATTCAGTTAGACAGCATATATTTTCTCAGTCCTTGATGATAAAAACAAGAGTGTGGAAGATGAAGAATTTTCTAAGAACATTTGTTATTCTGTCAAAATTCATGTGAGAATTTTGCGCCGTGGACAGTGACCTCCTATTATGCTCTCAAATAAGTGTGCGAAGTTTCAACCTATTCCCTTCAGTAGCTTTAGAGATACAAGCTTGCATGATAAAATTTTACAAAAGTGTGACATCAACACCTGTGAGAGTACAAAAGCTCTCCTAATTCTATAGTTGAGCTTAAAGTAAAAACTTACCTGCAAATCTAAGACAGGCTGAAACTGCTTCTTTATCTTCAACAACAACAGAATGAAACTTCTCATGAGATTGTGCGAGTTCAAAAGTTTTTGCAGATGGGGTTAGTGCCCCAAGGCTTTTAGCTACACTGAAAATATAAAGGGTGAAGTTTCTTGTCTTTATAATATATTTATGTTAATGTCATATCCTTGGGCTCTAAGTTAAACGTACACTGTAAACATCATATTGTGATTTTCTAGCTTTACTAGTGAATAGAAACCTCAACTGTCCTTTTGTGCCGCGTCATGACAAAACCAACATAGTGTGTTTGCGACCAGCATGGATCCAGACCAGCCTTGGCATCTGCACAGTCTGATCAGGATCCATGCTGTTCGCTTACAAACCCTGTAACAAGTAGAGAAACTGATAGCGAACAGCATGGATCCTGATCAGACTGCGCGTATGCGCAGGCTAGTCTGGATCCATGCTGGTCGCAGACGCATTACATTGGTTTTGTCATGATGACGCGCTAATTTGTGCATTATTTCAGGCAGAAGCTGACATCCAAGTAGAACAACCATTTGACCAAAGCGGGGCCTCTAACGCAGTCAAATCTAGTCCTGCCGAAGAACATTATACAGATTGCGATTTGGAATAACAGAACTGAAATTGCTGATAGTGTTATTTTGTACACTTGGCCTGCCTGGTTTTATCAGTATCTTGTTGACGTTTCCACTGCAAGATCTTGATGTTAATGCCTATGATTTTTACTGGTCTAGCCCTTCATTGGCTTTTGTAATTCATTGCCAAAACATATTCAACTAAGTTAAAACAAACTTTCATTTGAATGTGTAAATTTTCAAGCATTTCTTCCTACAGGTACACATTATGCATCAGAAACAAATGAATGTTTACTTCTTTAGAGAGTGAAAACATGAATTTTATAACAAATAAATGTGAAGTAATTTGTCATAAAAGTAGCAAAATGTAAACAATTTAGTATTTCAACTTCCATATAAAATTCTCACTTTAACTGTACGTAATTATTGCCAAAAAGCAACAGATTAAAATGATGGTTCAGTTAATTGGCAAATGAGTAACTTTTAAAAACTATTAAAGTACACCAAATTGACAAATAAAATAAAAGCATTTCTGAGGCATAACGGGCCTTTAAACGGGCCTTTAAACAACATCTGTCCATGGAAAGTACACTCCTCTTTTTTCAGTGCTTGATAGTTAAATATAAGCAACGCTGAAAAAGGGGCACAACTTTGCAAAAAAAAAAACCAACTCATACCTGCTCTTTTGAAATGGCTCTCTTTGATGACATTAAACTATCAATGAAGCTGAAGTGAAAAGCTGTTATAGTTTCTGAGAAAATGGACCTTCAAAAGAAAGGTTAACAAATGCAAGCGCTAAATGCGGAAGACAGGGTCATGACAATAGCTTCAATCTTTTTCTTCAAAACGGTGAGCTAAAAATTGCGATGAAACTAAGACAATATGTTAATGGTTAAATGGAAGCTGGAATTTTTGACCTCGGGTTAAGGCATGTGTTAAAGGTTACACAAAAGCTTTGACCTTGGGTTACTATGACAACAGACATACCTCACCTAGTTATATCTGGTATTGTTACAATTTTCCCTGCTTTAAGTGATGCATTCAGACAATCTCCCCCTACAGTTTCCATAGAAATACAGGGGACATCACTCCAGCCAACTTTTTTCATGCCCATCAGTACACCATTGAGTAGTCCTCCCCCTCCGACAGATACAATAACAACATCTGGTTTACATGGCATCTGCTGGGTAGCTTCTTCCATCATGCTTGAATGTCCTTCCCTAAAATTACATTGTATCTGGTTTCATATAGAAGTTCAAATATATATTATAAATTCATAATATTCATTGTGACATAACTATTTGGAAAAAAGTTTTATTCTTAATGTGAGTTGTCTGGGCTGTGAACATGATTTTAAAAGGTCTAATAAACATTTCACTCTTCAGGGACTATTTTTCCAGTATATTTGATAATTAAAAACATTTAATATACTATTTTTTCAGATACTGTTATTACAATGCCAAAACTAATAAAACTTACTGTTAACAAGGAAGAAGATATTTTGTATCAATTATTTTAAATTGTTTCTATAATAACACAAACAAGAGCTATATGTAATGACAGCATGCTCAACTACATTCTGTGTAATTTCAGTGCTTGTCAGTAAGAAAAGGGACATAACTCTGTAAAGAGGTACATGTATCTCAGAGTTATGGGACCTGTGCCTGTCATGGTAAATATTCACACAGAGCAAGTGTGTGAAGTTTTAACCCATTCCCTCTATTAGTTTTGGAGATTTTAACCTACATGTACTTAGCCAAACTGTTACCCCAATGCCAACGCCAGGGTGAGTGCAATAGCTCTTCCTATTCTTCAAATAGTCGAGCTAAAAATGGAATACTAAGCTAGAGGGCTTAATGGTACAAATACATTAGAACAAAGAAACTTACCATATATCTGGGTGGTCAAATGGATGTACATACAAACAATCTGTAGAACAAAATACAAATATGAAATACCTTTTTATCAAAGTGACTTATACATGTATGATACCTGAATTTTAACAGCGAATAATATATAAGTCACTAATTTCAGCAAAATGAAAATTTTATAAGTATTTTATGCTTAAATCCAATGAAATAATATGATCTTTAAAATATTATGTATAGAAACCTGATTTTAAGGGTCATTTATATATTTTATTAAAAGCATTGTCTTTTTTCTTTTAATTTCTAAAATTCAACAATTTCCATAATAGTGACCATATCTAATAAACAAAATCACATACCTGAATCTTTTGACATCTCTGTTGCAAACTTGTTGCTCTCATCCCATACTTTGCCATGAATCAACACCTCTGCTCCATACTGTAATTTTTGTCCGTAAAATATATAGAACCGTAATTTGTTATGGTTTGTAACTTTAAGTATTCAATCTCATCAATCTCATTTATTCATATACTAAAATACTTGTTTTTGTACAGAAATTATAGTTTTTTTTATTCCGAAATATTTAAGTTTGGATTATGTCTAAGAAGTCATTTTGTACCAGAAAGCAACTATTCTTTAAGATTCTTAATACAAATCAATACAAACAGATAAAATAAACATTCTCTTTCTGATAAAAAAAAAAGAAACATTTCAAAGAAAGTGCACAGGATGATTTTTTTCTTTTTGACAGTTTTTTAAAAGTCATACTAATACAGTTTACTTCTTAACTAATTGGAGTTAACAAAATCTCCCACTTTACACATTATTTTAGCTAAAATAGGCATTTCGGTATCCCTTAAAGATAGCTCAATGGCTTTTTAAGTTTTTTACACAACACAATTTAACATTCCAATTAAAAACCTTACCTGTCACAGGTAAATGATTCAAAATCATTCTAACTAAGCTGGACAATATCCGTGTCATTAAAGGAACTCAACTGAGGTTTTCCTAATTGAGTGAAATGGAAATTATTTTTCCAAAATTTGTACACCATTTCATGTAGATTTGCACCAAATACTTGTGTGTAAATTTTCTGATAATTTTCTCACTCTGTTTTTTCAGAATAATTATTTTCATTGTCCAAAATGACCTAAAAATGAAAAGCGTTGCAAAACAGCCAAAGAATTGCACAGAAATCTATATTCAATTTACATTTCTAATTTAAGAGGAGCGGTGGCCTAGTGGTTAAGGTGTCTGCCTGTCAACCCAGAGATCATGGGTTCGAGCCTTACTCAGGTTACGACCATGTTTCTTCATACGACACCAGTACTGGTTGGTTCCAGGAAGCGGACTCGAAAGTGATTAATATAAGTTGCAAGAACTTGTTTCGCAATCAAGCTTAAATAAATATGTTTAAACCATATTTCTAAGTACATTTCTATATCTTTGCAGATTTTCTATATTATGGGCTTCACTTATGTATGTAAAAATCTCCATTTTTTTTTGTTTTTAGACATTTTAACCTCAGTGGAACCCCTTTAAAATGGATTTATAAAATTATCACCTCATTCCTGAGTTTATCTGCAACAAATCCTGGTGTACTCTGGGGCAGCACTATAGTTGCAGGAATACCAAGTGTTTTAGCTGCATATGCTGCTGCCAGGCCAGCATTTCCTCCTGATGCACAAACTATCTTCTTACAACCATGCTGTGCTGCCTGGAACAAATATTTAGAGGATACTGAATGAGTGAAGTTTTAATTCTAAATTTATTGAATGAGTTAAATAAAATCTTTAGAGGCTCACATAATATTGTTTAATTCAACAATTTCAATAACATTAGTTCATTGAATCTACACGAATATAATATTCTATTTATTAGATATCTAAATAAGAAGGGTAAACTGTTATAAAGAGTCATTTTTCATTGACGAGCCTATAGTGTAACGCTAACATTAGCACACTGTAATGCTTGTTTGTATGTAACGCAATGCCATCAAGTCAAAGTGATATTACACTAGTGTAATATCATTTTTTTTAAATGGCTTTATTACACTCAAGCGCTGCAGTTTAAGTGATAAAATGCTTTACAAATAAACACAGCATTTAATGGCTTATTTTGTTTTGTTCTATTGGGTATGTTTGATACTCCTTTTGATATCCCTTTTTATAGTGTGCTTACTGTAGAAAAATATCAGTCACTTTAATGGATGCTCACAAGATCACCAAATGGTAGAGGTTAAACTAAAGAACCAACTAAAAATCTGTAATATCAATCAAAATCAGAGAGGCTATAAGAAACAGCAAGGACTGACAAAATATCTATCAATTTTGATATATCGGGAGCATAATAATCAAGAACAACCAAAATGACTGTTTCTTTAGAACAAAGCTTAAAATCTGTTCATGTTGTGACCTTCCAGTTTAACAATTACATGTATCTAACCTATTTTGCTTACATTATCTTGTAAATAAGCATACCTTTTTAATTAGGTTTCCAATGCCTCTTATTTTGAATGATCCTGGTATCTGGAGATTTTCTAGCTTCAAGTATACATCATAGTCAGTAAGTTTACTTAAAGGCATACTCTGTATTGTTGGTGTTACCATATGTAAGGGTCCCTCTCCAGATGCCATGCTGCACCAGTAGTTTTTTACCTGCCAATGTTCAGAAACAACCTACATGTATTTAACAAAAGAAATATTTCTATTCAAAGTTTACAAGCTCTACAGTTTAAGATGGCTGTTCTTGAAATAGAAGCCTATAATTGGTAAGTATGAACAATTAATGATTGCTTTCAGTAAAAATTGCTGAAATCATGTTTTGATATATATGAGAACCAAAACCTCAAACATTGGGGTCCCTTTCTTACATTTAAACCCGGCATGTACAGATCAATCATTCAGATGAATGAGATAATAAATGCCAAATAAGACATGTCCAAAATCAGATAATGACAAAAAGCTCAGCAAGGAACAGTATGAAATCTACATATGTAACATGTATCTCATCATTTTTTTTTTTTTAATATTATACCAAATTCAATTGGGCTAAATCACACACAAAAATATTTGATATTCAATGTAATACTGAGTTGTAATATTTCTTTATTATTCTTTGCAGATTTTCATATTTTAATTGCTTCACTTGATCTTTATATGTATGTAAGAATTTCCAATTTTATGTTTTTTTAGCCTTTTTGACCAAAGTGGGACTCCTTTAACAGGCGTGGGCTTCTGTCTCAGCCATAAAACATGGTTTTATTTAATTCCGTATTTTTTTAAAACCCACTGACCATCAAGTCTCAATAGTACTTAATATTGAGACTAGATTGTAACTGGGACCCCCCCCCCCCATTTGCCTTCAAAATGATTACAAAACAGAAGTTTTATGATTAAGATGGGTGCTCAATCTCTGTTAAAATGCTTAAACTTGTTTTACTGACAGTTGACAGGGACGGCTCAAGCCGTGTGCTGGGTGCCTGACCCCCCAAGTGTATGAGAAAAATATGCCCCCTTTATCTGCACATGACTATCCGAATTATATGCTAGTTATCGTGTTGACATGGCAGTCAAATAAAGTTTAAATACATTTGCATCACAATACAGGTATAAAAGTTGTTTTAAATAAATAAATGCACAAATAAAAACAATAATATAGAGTAAAAAAGTGTTGACAATGCGGAAAATCCATTATTTTTGCTAAAATTTACCGTTGATAAAAATGTGTATGATAGCACACCTTGAATACTCTTCAAAAAGAAGTAAAGCGGACGATTTTCAATTTTGTAAATTATCCAAAATTAAGAAAGAAAACGCTGAATGAAAATTCATTTTCTCACTCAGGTATCTAAATCATACATTTATTTAATTGTATTTTATATTTTATTGATGAATTGATAGTACAGACACCTGACCGTCAACAGTCGCAATGTATTCTATTTTCGCGACTCAAATTACTTGACGTGTCTGTATAAGAGACTTCAGAGAACCGTTTTGTGTCATCTGCTACTGAGAAGCCGTGACATATATAGGGATAACTTCTCCGTGATGTGTCTGTCCGTCCACCACAAAACATTTCGGACTACTCCTCAATTATTAAAGGCACAAAACTGCTGGTGCAATTTTATCCAACTTTATACTGTACAGTGTACTGTTTACAGGTGCATACCAAGGAAGCTGTGTATATACCTTCCCCATTTTACAGCTCTGTGATTTTTGCGACAGGTATGGGCCTCTTGTCCTTTAATTTATTTTTGTTTTATAAAGTTCTGACAAGGCTACTTCTGTAATACTTCTAATGCAATTCAAGTGAAATTAATATGAAAAAGGCAAAGCCTCAAAGCGAGCTCGATGCACTTTTAACGTGAAATAGTATGAAATAATCGCTAATTTTTATTTCAAATGCAGTGACGAGTGCGTGTGACGTTACTCATACTGTGTTAAATATGGCTCCGCCCCTGTCGTTAAATGAATAACGAGTTTTGAAAACGTTGATAAAACTTTGTTTATTTTATTTCACTCTATAATTTTCAAGCGAAATAAAGATTGTTAAAAGTGAAATAAATATAAAACTTAAAACGTTTGAGACATTAAAATAGCGTACTTGATTTGTTTGTTTTGCACGTGCTGTTTTGCGCTACATTGTGACGTCACGTAAACAATAATTTAAACGTCTGTACAGCATTAACGACTGAATAAAAGATATTGGTGTTCGGATTCATTTTCTTAGTTAGATCATTTTCTTTCATTCTAGATAGTTTTCACAACAAAATTCGACAAAAAATTGTTTTTATTAATCAGATTTTTCAAACAAAATGGCGCCTTCAATTTTCATTTTACATTTTCCGTTTTAAAACTATCATTCGATATTTTATACACAGCTTCCATTATTCTGGTTCCCTGTCCAATTATGGTTCCCATAGATGTGCGCGGGTGACCAGTCTACACATCCGTTTTCAGTCAGAATTCCTCAGTTTTTATCGTTATCTTTAAATTCGAAAGGTTGCGATGTGTCCAATTCGGTACTTCGGACGAAAGTTTTCAAAACCATCACTTAGCAGGCACTCGCGTTACCGTAAAGTTCGCTTTGCGAGCAGGCCCTTCGGGCCAGCTCGTTGAGCTCGCTACTACTAATCTGGGAATTTGGCTGACATCAGGCGACGTATCATATGATCACTCATAGCTCATGTTATAGTGATTGTTCCACTCAGAAAGAGTGGATGTACCCTCATTGACCTTATGATACATAGATTCATAGGGTAATAGACTTTAACCCATAGCAAATTACAAATCTCAAAGAAATGTCTAAGATCCTGTCTTATGTGAAAGTTTGTGTTCATTAGTTTATCATACATGTAAATTTGTCATATTGTTTATTTTCACAGGCAATCACATACCGGACAGTATTTTAAATCTATTTTAAATAGGATATATATTATCAGCCTGTGATGTAAGCATGTTCACATATTGGTTCCGGTTTAAGTATTTACAATATTTTGATTGTAGTTAAGCACTTTAGACCATTAGCTTTGTTTCTTTACTCTTCACTAATAATTTGTTACTGTTATTTACATGGTGTCATGTTTTGCTCAAATTGTAATTGTTATTATCTGGAAGTCATTAAATTAGGTTTTTTTCCTAGCTTATTCTACAGTACAAACAAACTTTTACCGTCATAGCTTTATGGAGCACTACCGTTTACTATTTAATATAAATAAGTCCTTTTTTTGTGCTTATTTTTGTTATTTATAAGTTTTCTCAGAAAAAGTTTGTTTGTAACTGGATTAGCTGGGAAAACCCCAAAAAAATTTCTTCATTCAGGAACAAGTCTATTACATGTATACTAATTTGTAACTTCAACAGTTTGTACATGTTTATGATTCTATTTTTAGATCAGTTAGAACATTACATCATACCATGGCATCCCAGTCATTAACTCAGTCCCAGAAAGCAATGGCAAGTATGGACAAAGGAGAGCAACAGAGAATTGTTAATGATACAGTCAAATTCCTGCTAGTTCTAGATCAGAAAAAAATTCCTATCAAGAAAGCAGGTAAATGAGCTTTTATAAATTAAAATGATAGAGGATCGTCAGTCCATAAAAGAGAAAATGTCAAATTTAACTTAATAAGATCATAAGGCTAGATGGGTGATTTAATTTGATCATAGCAAGTTTAACTCTAGTTCACCCTAAATTCCCCTAGAATTCGTCTGATACCTAATTGATTATAGATAAAACTTGTATTATTAGAGCTTTTTGTAAAAATATTAATTAAAAGATTTTTTTGACAAAATGGAACAATGTATAATTGTATTACCATGTCATGTTTTCATTTTAATAAAAGAAAAATTGTTGGAGAAGTTAGCTATGAAAATGTTTAAAGTTATTTGTATCAGGTAATAACTTTTATTCCTACTGACAGAAATTTAAATCAGCTATGCAACCAGGCAGCCCCAAAATACCCCCAGCACATTATGGTTTTGCACTATTTTTGCGATTTATGACATTGCCCCAAAAATGAAGGGTTTTGCCAGAAAAAAAGGGGACAATTCATTTAAAATTTTGTAGGGTGGGGTATAATGTTTAAATTTTAGGGGTTTTGGTTTTTTATTAAAAATTATTTTTTTTGTAAACAATAAAACAAGCTTTGGGGTTAAAGGGAACTTTCCAAAAGCTTTCAGAATTTTTGCTGAAGTTTTTAAAAAATTTTTTCAAGGGAAAAAAAAAAATTTACTATATTTTTAATTTTTTCTTTTAAGGGCCATAAATAAAAGGGATGTATTATAAATTTTAACATATTTGTCACATCTTTTAAACCCCAATTTCATTTTAACTTTGCTTTGAACAAAATATGTTACACATCCCCTTGGGGGTTTTTGTACTGCAAAAAAAGGGTAGGAGGGCCCATACATATTTTTTGATTGACACATTGTCTACAAAAAAAATTAAAAGAACGAAATTTTAGCAAAACCCGGGAAACAGATCAAAAAAAATTGTTTCTTTTAAAAAAATTGTTTTTTGGGATTTTAAAAAATAGAATTTTTAATTCTTTGGGGGTTCTTTACCAAAATTTTTTGAGTCATGAAAAAAACTAATTCAGCTCGACAGAGGCCCTGCTTATTTTAAATTTTTCAGCTTTTTTCCATTTTTTTTGGTTTTGAGCTTCACACATTCAAATCGTCTTTATTGCAGGTTGGTATAAACCCCAAGGGAACTAGAAGAAAAACAAAGGGGAATAATACTGTTAAATAAAACATCAGTTTCTAAAAAAAAACCTTGGGTAAACATTTTTAAAATTAATCTACGATGCCGAAACCCTTAATCTTTGAGTTTTTTATCTTTTTACTAAATTCCCTTTTGATAAAACAATTTTGATAACACAATATTTTCCGTCAATCGTTTTAAAATATTATTATTAAATAATATATTGGGTGTTATTAATTCGTCATCTAATTTTATGTTTCCAAAATTTTTTCCCTTTACCCACAGAATCAATCAACTCCCCCTTTTTTACACTTCTTTGCCAAAATTTTAAATATTTCTATCAACCCAAATCTAACTCAAAAACCTAATAAAAAAAAAAACCCTTTGATGTGCGCTGCAAATAAAATAATAAACAAAAAAAAACAAAAAAACGTTTGTTAATACATTACATAAAACCCTTTTAAACCACATCTTCTTTTTTTTACAAAACCCGGACCTTTAACTTAAAGGGGGGTTTCAAAAACCGAAAAACAAAAAAATTTTTTTTTTTATAAACAAGTGAAGAACTAAAATTTGAAAATCTCAAATATAAAAAATAAAAATAACTCAAAATTTCCAAGGGGAAAAATTTGAAAAGTTAATCCAATCCCTTAAAAACCAAATTTTTAAACTCTCTTCTTTTTCTTTTTGCCACAATAAATGATTTTTTAGAAAGACGGGAAGGGAAGATCAAAAATTTGCAAAATAATTTTTTGGGCCCAAAGACCTCCCAAAAAAGGGTAAACAAACCCCCAGAAAAAAATTTCCCAGTCCCACTTTGTAAAAAAAACCCCCAAAAAGCCCTTTTATGTTTTAACATATAGTTAACCGGATTTTTAAATTTCCTTAAATTATCTGGGTGAAAATCTATGTAATTTTATTTTTTAACATTAATGCATTTAAATAAAAATTTTTATTTTTTATAAAGGGAAAAAAAACAGAAAAGAGAGGACGGGTTGATTCACACAGTCTTTTTTAGGGGGCAAGTAATCACAGAAAATTAGTGGCTTTTTTATCCCCAAAATGATATTTTTTATAAACGGGTTTTTTGCTTTAAAAAAATTTTTAAAATTCCAAAGGGAATTCCAACCCAGAGCATTTGGGGGGCAAATTTTTAAAGAAAGCACCCCCTTAATCTTGGGTAAAAACCCCTTATATCCATGTTTTGAATCCCCAAGTTTTTTTTTAAAAGGCTTTAAAGTTTTTTTAAACCCTTTTAAAAATGTGCTTTTACTTTGAATATTATGACATTCTAAACAAAGTGGTGATATTACCGAAGCTATGCTGAATCTAAAATTGTACAGCCACTTAATCAGAAATTGGCCCGACTGTTCATGAGTAAAATCTTACTAGGCTGCAATCACTTGCGGAGAAATTGGAAATTTACTGGTTAGTTATCCAGGAAAGTTACCACTTGCAGAGCAATTGGTAATTTACTGGTTAGTTATCCAGAAAAGTTATCACTTGCAGAGAAATTGGTTATTTACTGGTTAGTTATCCAGGAAATCGTGTACTTGTAGAGAAATTGTTTATCTACTAGTTAGTTATCCAGGGAAGCGATTACTTGCAGTGAAATTGGTAATAACTGGTTAGTTATCCAGGAAAGCGATTACTTGCAGAGAAATTGGTAATTACTGGTTAGTTATCCAGGAAAGCCATTACTTGTAGAGAAATTGGTAATTACTGGTTAGTTATCCAGGAAAGCGTTTACTTGTAGAGAAATTGTTAATCTACTAGTTAGTTATCCAGGAAGGCGATTACTTGCAGAGAAATTGGTAATTACTAGTTAGTTATCCAGGAAAGCTTTTACTTGTAGAGAAATTGGTAATTACTGGTTAGTTATCCAGGAAAGCGTTTACTTGTAGAGAAATTGGTAATTACTAGTTAGTTATCCAGGAAAGCGTTTACTTGTAGAGAAATTGGTAATTACTAGTTAGTTATCCAGGAAAGCGTTTTGTAAAAAATTGGGGAAATTTACTAGTTATTATCCAGGAAGGCTTTACTGCAGAAAAAAAGGGAAATTTACTGTAATATCCGGGAAGCTTTACTTTAAAAAATTTGGAATACTATTATTTACCCAAAACGTTTATTTGTAGAAAATTTTGGAATTTACAAATTTGTATCCGGGAACATTATTTCAGAAAATTTTGGTTTAATACTAGAAGATCCAAAATTTTTACTTTGAGAAATTGGATTATTGGTTAGTTTCCGGGGAAAAGGGGTTTAACTGCAAAAAATTAATTACTAAATTACCGGGAAACTTTTTACGTGGGAAATTTGGGTAATTCCCTAGTTTTTTCCAAAAAGGGCTTTAATTTGAAAAAATTTTAATAAAATTAGTTTTTCCCGGGAACCTTTTTAAAGGGGAAAAAAAAATTTTTCCCAAAAAAGGGTCAAAGTTGATGAGAAACCCAGAAAAACAAACAAAATATATACTAATTTTCATAATTCATAATTATTCATATGAACAGTTAGGCCTGTTGGGTGCACAAATTCAGCTTAGTAGATATAAATCAGTGTTGCCATCATTGAAAAGTTTGTATAATTATGTTAATCAGGTAAAGCGTGGGGAAAAAAATCATGTTTCTCATTTCTGGTTTCTTTTTTTTCCAGAGCAGCTTTGGGGTGGACTGAAAAAGTTTGGTATAGAAGCTGAGTAAGTCATTCATATACATTGTAGTGTGGTATAGTGTGGTTATATGTTTTATTTGATGAAATAATTAATACTTTGAAAAGCAAGGAATGGAACAAATAGATTTGCTTTATTAGGATAAATATCTCCTTAATGTGTGTTTGCTGCTGCATTTATGACATTTCCAGAGTTTTCCCGCATAACATATGTGGTTTGAACCACATCAGGGACGTTTTTCATCTGAGGAAGCTATCCAGCTACTTTCCACTAGTTTACAGAAAAATCTGTTTTCTACCGGGGTCCCGGGCCCCGGGAAAAAAATCACAAAAAACTTTTGGATTTCCCCCAAACGGGGAAAAACAGGAAAGTCACCTGAGGGCCCCTTTTTTTTGATGCAATGAAAAACCCCAAAACCAAAAACCTTTGACTTTCCCGGAAAAAAATTTAAAAAGCCCAAAAAAAACACAATACCCTTTTTATTAGTTCAGATTTTTCATCTTGAATTTTAAACATACTTTTTGAATCATAAAAATAATTTTTTTTGGGGAACTATTTTTCATTTTTTTGCGTTTTTAGACCCAAAAAATTTTCATTTTGTCTTCTGCGAAGTTTTATTTTCCCTTTTTTACTTTTTAAACCTTTTTGAAAAATAAACAGTCCAGAAATTTAAGAGCCCATGAGTATGTATTTTGTGACAAAACCACAAAAGTGACCACAAAGTTTAGTGAATTCACAGTATTTTCAATATTTACAGAATTCCTCATGAAGTATTCGGTGATGTGAAGAAATTGGTCACACAAGAATGGGTCAGACAGTGCTACCTGGAAATAACAAGAATGCCTAATACAGACCCTCCTCTTTCTGAGATCAAATGGGGTCAAAGGGCACAACTAGAAATCTCAAAACGAAATGTACTCGGTTTTGTGAGCAAGGTAAGTAAGTCAGGGTGAAGCATTATGTGTAAAGGTTAAATTATGAATGTGCACTCCTGACATTTTTTTTAATGACACTGAGAACAGCAGTGTTTTTTGTAAGTAAGTTGCTATCAATTTGTTAAAGTCAGTTTTAAAGAGTTTTTGCCTTCCATTCAATTTCATTTTGTTGGTAAAAAGTGATATTTAAAGAAAGTTATTATCTGAAATTATTTCAGACATATTTTTATTATGTTTTGGCTAGATGTTATTAATTCAGCGCATTTGAAAGTCAGTACTGCAAAGATTTTTTAATACTGGACATTTGTAATGTCACTTTTCATTGGATTATTGTGACATTTATATAAACTTTATAGAAAACTTCTGTCAATTTATGAATACATTTCATTTTTCTCAATAAAGGGATGCTTGCTTTATTATAAATTTGTTATTAAGATTTTTAGCAGGATTTAGGGGTAGGAACAAAGAAATTTGTTTTGACTCAGTGGGGGGTGTTAAGTTAATCAGGGAGGTCATTATGTCATAAATGGTAGCAATATTGCTGATATTCAATATTTGTTGGAATGAAATGTATTGTACTTACTGGTATTTCAGTCATACTTATTTCAATTTCAGATATATAACATTGAAGAACTTTCACAATGGACTAGCCAATGGCAGGATGTACTGTCATCTGAGGGACAAGCCGAGGACCAGCCATCATGATGCTTGTAATAAACTTTATTTATCAGGGAACCAGTCAAACAGGAATTGTTCTGTCACAAGTCTAATTCTTGTAAACCAATCAAATTAGTCGTAACACAATGGTTTATTTTTAGAACTAATGTAAATTGATGTTCACAATGCAGTTTGTAAACTTATTAATAAGATAACAAAAATTCACGTTTTGAGAAATAAAAATAATAGCATTTCTGAGGCATAATGGGCCTAGTACTAGTACTTCAGCAGAATAAAGTTACACAGTTATCAGCTGATAACTAGTCTAGTAGATGTAAATTTTTTTTTAAATATGTACATTTTTTTACTGAGTGGAAGAATATAGGAGGTATCCTACACAATTTTGTGTGGGCAATGGTTTAGATGTTAATAATTGTTATGCCAGTTTAAGGCTTTGCGTGCAAATATATATTTCTCTCTTATCACTTAAGGGTATTCTCTTAAAAAATACTACATGTATTCATGATCATTATTGTAGGTCACTGAATATCAGAGGTTTTTTTTGTAAACTTTGAAAATTCATGGTTATGTCTTAATATGCAAGTTTCAGTCTCTATGCACAATGCTAGATGATCATACTCTTGATAATTCATAAATAACTTTTTCAGACTAGTAATCTAATGATCACTAGCCACATGAGTTCGAACCTCGCCAGTTGTTGTTTCCCTTAGCAAGAAACTTTTTACTTATTGCTCAGTAATGGTTAGTTCCAGGAACATATTTGGAAGTGTGTCTATAAGACTATAGCTTCCTATACTATATTGAACTAAAGTAAATTCTGTTTAACCAGATAATTTTTTTGTTTATCCTTTTAGGGGAAAATGTCAGAGTATGTACTGACTGTATAGCAAACAGGGCAGTCCATGATCAAGATGGCATGGCTGATCTTGGTCTGCAGTGGTTGCATGTATAGCTGGCTAATGATTAATATATTTTTTTCTTATTTGTAAACGAATCAAATCATGTTGGAAGTGAAATGCGTGTAAGATGGAGGTTCATAATACAGATTATTGCATGTCTTTTAGTTAGTATTTTTGTATTTTCTCCTGTTATTAAATGCTGTTTATAATGTTATATCATGAAAAATAAAAATAATTTTATGCAAAACAAGTTTTACCTTGTATGTTAAAATTAACTAACAAGTAGTCATGAAATAATGTTATATTATTACTGATGATAGAACGTTTTTATTTCACACTTTCCGTAATGTTACCAATGACCTTCCAGCATTTAATCAACATGATGTTCCAATATGAATCTTTATTGGATGCTAGAAAAAACCAGGACGGATTTCATGATCAATCACAAAAGAAGTGATCTGCACCGTTCAGGGATCGAACTCGGGCCGCTGGATCCATAGTCCAACGCTCTACCTACCGAGCTCAAGTGATATTTATGAAAACAAATTAGTCTTAAAGCATGGCCCTAAATGTAACCGTTTTGATTTAAACCAAAAGTTCATTATCCTGTGGCTCACAGGTTCGAGTTGTGGTCAAGCTGTACAGGTTTCTCACACTATTACTGCATATTACCCAGAGCTCAATTCACTATGCTCTGTAAACATCAGAAATTCGAGGACAAATCATGGTCAGGCAGATCCAGTCCGGGTGTAGAAGTGCTTTTTCATTGACACATGTGAATTTAACATATTGTACTAAATTTAAAATGGACAAAGGCAGTATTATATGCATGATACTTTTAGATCTACATAAAGTATTTGATACAAATGATCACACTATACTGCACATGAAACGCCAAGCATTTGCCATAGGTAATGACATTCTTATATGGTTCAAGTCTTATCTCTTAGAGATAGCAGCTGGTGGAAATGAAAGATTTGAAAGTAAATGTTTGCTACGGAAGTCACTGGTAGATATGTAAAATGTCAATGTTTGCTACGGAAGTCACTGGTAGATATGTAAAATGTCAATGTTTGCTACGGAAGTCACTGGTAGATATGTAAAATGTCAATGTTTGCTATGGAAGTCACTGGTTGCAATGGGAGATATCAGTTGCTATGGAAGGTAAATTGTTGTTATAATTATTTCATGTTATCTTGCAGTTTCCAATTTCGACCCAAGGGCTAAAACTTGAACAAACTTAGTCGAGGTCTAACAAATAATGTTTCGTGTCAAAAAACAAACAACCTTTAGCTACTGCAGCTTTTGAGAAGAAAAGTCTTTACAACATACGAGGGGCATATTTTAACCAGTGACAACGGCAACACGCTTCTATAAATAAGTAATACTGTACTTGTGAAAAATGATTAGTAGAGTCTTTCAAAATATTCAGCATGGACCTCTACACACTTTTCCAGCCCTAGAATCCATTCCGAAAAAACATTTTTGGTATTGTTTTTATACACTGTTTTAGAGACTGTATGGATTTAACCAGAAGTCGCAAGGAGAGAGGGGTGTAGTAAAGCCTCTTTGCTCCTCTAAATAAGCTTGAACCAAGGCTGACCGGTGTACAGGTGCATTATAATTGAGTAATTTTATCCTGCGCATCCCGTACCTTGGGCTCTTTGTAATACATGTATAACGATTAACTACAGCTTTGAGAACGTTCCAATGACACTACCCCTCTGAGGCACAGCGACACGGGCCACTTTTCGATCAGTCAAAAACTAGAGCGTACATTGTACATAACACTTTTACACGGGCAACAACTGACATTGATACCTGTTTTCACCTACCCTCCTTTTGTTACTGCTCGAGTCGGGCTCAAAAATATAAAGCCACACTTTATCCCCTGTGATAATGTGATAATTTCTCTCAGGCGTCTAGGGTCTTGATCTTGGAACATAGTCAATATGGCCGAGACTTTTTCAACCCAACCCCTTTCCTAGTCAGAAGTTTGCAAATATGGGATCAAACAGTCGCACACTCTTAATTAATTTCAACTTTTTGTCAAGATGGAAAACACATATAACGCACTCAGACCCGATGTATCACTTATCTCCTCCTCGGTATATCTTGCATCTTCAGCAACTATGGTTTTGACAGTGCTGATGTCTTTTTTCTGAGGTAGCGGAAATTGGCTGCCCATTTAAAAAAGTAGCGGAAATTGGCCGCCCAGGGCGGGGATCATCCTTCACATTAGTTCTACCTTCCTTAAACATTGTCACCCACCTGACGATTATACGATATAGAAGGGTATTTTCTCCATAAACTAAATCTAGATCCGTTTTTAGCTCACCTGTCACAAAGTGACAGGGTGAGCTTTTGTGGTCGCTTTTCGTCCGGCGTCCGTCCGTCCTGCGTCCGTTGTCCGTCCGTCCGTCGTCCGTAAACTTTTACTTTATATGACATCTCCTCATAAACCACTAAGCAAAATTCATCAAAACTTCACAGGAATGTTCCTTTGGTGGTCACCTTTGAAAATTGTTCAAAGAATGGAATTCCATGCAGAACTCTGCAAAGAAAAAAAAATAAATATCTTCTTCTAAAAAACCAAAGAGCTAGAGCTTATATATTTGACATGAAACATCTTCTAGTGAGTGTCTACCAAGTTTGTTCAAATAAAAGCCCTGGGGTCAAAATTGGCCCCGCCCCAGGGGGTCATTGATTTTCCCTATATGCATATAGTAAAAACTTAATAATTCCTCTTTTAAAGAACCCAAAGAGCTAGAGCTAAGAATTTAGCATGAAACATCTTCTAGTGAGTGTCTACCAAGTTTGTTCAAATAAAAGCCCTGGGGTCAAAATTGATTTTCCTTATATGTGTATAATAAAAACTTAAAAAATCTTCTTTGAAAAAACTCAAATAGCCAGAGTTTAGATATTAAGCACGAAGCATCTTCTAGTGAGTGTCTACAAAGTTTGTTCAAAAAGAAGCCCTGAGGTCAAAATTGGCCTCGCCCCGGGAGACATTGATTTTCCTTATATGTGTATGGCAAAAAATTAAAAATCTTCTTTGCAAAAAAAAAACCGAATAGCTAGAGTTAAGATATTAAGCATGAAACATCTTCTAGTGAGTGTCTACCAAGTTTGTTCAAATAAAAGCCCTGGGGACAAAATTGATTTTCCTTATATGTGTATAATAAAAACTTAAAAAATCTTCTTTGAAAAAACTCAAATAGCTAGAGTTTAGATATGAAACACGAAGCATCTTCTAGTGAGTGTCTACAATGTTTGTTCAAATAGAAGCCCTGGGGTCAAAATTGGCCTCGCCCCGGGGGACATTGATTTTCCTTATATGTGAATGGCAAAAAATTAAAAATCTTCTTTGAAAAAAACCGAATAGCGAGAGTTTAGATATTAAGCATGAACATTTTCTGAAAGCCCTTAAGTCAAAACTGGCCCTGCCCCAAGTGTATCATTGTTTTTAACTATATGTGTAAAGAAAAACCTTGACCAGCTAGACCTTAGATGTTTAGCATGAAATATCTTCTAATGGATGTCTACCGAGTTTGTTCAAATAAAAGCCCTGGGCTTTAAACTGGCCCCGCTCCGGGGGCCTATATACATGGCCATCATGGCCCTCTTGTTATTTTTGGCGCGCATTGACCCGATAAAATAGAGAAACACAGAATCCCTAAAAAAAGTCCGTCCAACACAACAGAATTGAAAATGTCGCAGGCTCGGTTTAATTGAGCCTGTTCATGGACAGTACTGGAAAGTGCAAGTTTTTATTTTAGAAACATCCGCAGATGTGTCACGAATGTGTTTCCTATTCTAATTAAAATCCGGGACAAAAAAGTATATATTATTGTTCCAGTTAAAATATGCAAACCAGGGTATGATTTTTTTTAAAACTAACGCAGAGATATAGATAAATCTACATCGCTGATAAACGTTATTGCTATGACGAAACTGGTAATATCTTTTTCGAGATTTATATACTATTGATGCACTCTGAACCATAGGCCTTACTTGTGTGCATGATTTAAGATATTATTTGCTCACTCCATTTTTCCAGTATAAGTGCAAAATGACCCAAAAATGAAAAGTGGTTAAACGCTTTTAACCCAAATCGGACAAGATCGAAATACACAAAATGGCGGATTAATATATTACATTGTAATTAAGATCCGTGACAAAATAAAATTATTTATATCTAAATCAAATCTGAGTAAATATATTTATTATATACCTATAAATGAAATATTGATGAAATAAAATGCTTATTTTCATTTTCGTATATTCACTGTAATATATTTTCCGTGTTATCACTGGTGTCTTGCCGGACGACTTTCTTTTAAATTCTGCAAGTACA